ACAGCTTACTTTATCCTAATATTCAAGTTGATATAAATTTCTCAACTATGCTGGCTTTTTTTCATCAGATATAATAAAACTTTGTGGCTTTAAAAGCTTGGAAGAGCTAAAAAGAATTATTTGCTTAGAGTTGTCTTATTAATAAGACACACTAGAAGAAATGTGATAAAAAGCACTGAAACATATGCTGAAAACTTTTGATACTTGTAAGTCATTAAAAAAGGATATATTTCATTTAGTTAGGATAACTTATTTTTTAAATGCATATTTTAAAATTGTGCACTTATTTTGCAATAGGGATCTGTCAGCATTTTTACATTTTCATGTTCATTCAGAGAGCTGATTCAACTGAACTAGGCAGAGGTTTATTAGTCATATGCATGCATAAAAGTTTATGTTGTCCCTTAACACATGTGTGCTTGCAAAGGTTTTACATTTCCTGCTGATTTCTATGTATTTGTCTGGAATCATCACCTTTTAAAAATAAGTTGCTTTACTATGGTTTGCTGAGATTTTCCAACAAATTCTGCAGATAATTATACATTGTTTCTTTAGATGATTATTAAAAGGGGATTTTTCAAGTTACATATTTTCTAGTCAGAGAACTCTACTAGTCATAATCTCAGCTAACTCAGGATTGCACATTACCTTAGGCAAAATGCATCTCTGCTGTTGGCATGGGTCCAAAGTGTAACTACTTACAGGGTGTTATCTGCCATTCCTTAACTCAGCAAATACCTTGCCAAATACTTAGCTTCTTCGTGACCTGTGATTCTTGTTTGTAGTGCATGGAACAAAACCACTAAATAGCAAACAGTCCAAGGGGTACGTGTCCAATAGCAAACAATCCAGGTCCACATTCTGAAATTACAACCCCCTGATTTAATAGCTCATGATCCTTTCATTGCCCTGGGCTAGATTTTAATTTCTGTAATAATATTCATCTTGTTTCATAGAAATCATGGAAAGCCCTTACTTGTTTTCTTTAAATCTGTCCTCAATTTTTTTTTATGTTTTTTCTGTTTCTTCCAAACTTTTTCTGGTATTCATTAAAACAAATCAATCCAGCTTCCAACCCACAACAATCATTCTCCATTATCCCCTTCCAGCTTTGCAAAAGTTTAGGGCAATTTTGAGCCATCTGCTCAGGGAAATATCCCAAGTAACCAGAGATTTTGTCACACACAGATAAACTCTTGAAGTCTCATCCAAATCCCAATGAAGGTGTTGGGTGTCATTGAGACATGATTCAAAGTCACTTGTGATTACAGTTATTTTAGTGAAGTTTTAGTTATTAAAGCTGAGACTTACTGGTGCTGTTTCAGATTTTACTTTCAGTTGTTTTATGTTGGTAGATACCTATCTAAATAATTTGTATTAATCTTTTCCTTACACCCATGTAGCTCTGCTCACAGGCAGACTCACTAGTTGTTATGTTTGTAATTAACCATTGCATCGTTTCTCACATGTGCATCAGCAGCCCTGAGGGAAAACCAGTTCTGGCACTTGGAGGCAATTTTTAACAGAAACCATGCTCTACATTGTCCCTGGTTTGGTAGCTCTCTGTCAGCTCTAGAGACTCACATTCGCTGCCTCTTCAGAGGCCCCTTCTCCCTCTGCCTGCCCCCAGGCTCATCTGCTGAGTGGGCAGGAGCTGCCAGCAGAGGAGTCACTCCTTGGAGCTCCCTTTGTTCAATGCCTTGGGCTCATCTTTGGGACTTATCTTCTAGGCTTCCAAATCTCAGAGCCGGCTTGGCCAACTGCCTCTAATTATGGGAAAGGAGATCTCCTTGCTTGTTGCCACATTTTTTATACCAGTATGGCTTTATGTTGGATCTCAGGGGAATTATTGGACAGGTGGCAGAGTATAGCGCTGTGTTTTGCAAAAATACACCAGGTTATTAATTTAGATCTTAGCAGTCAGATGGCTCTGCCTTTTCAGCTTAGAGTCAGCACATGATTTAGGGTGGAAAGGAATTCTGCAGGTAACTGTGCCTACCTGTTTTTCCAGGAAAAGCTACTTTCATGGCAAATTTGGCTTCAAAGTTACATCAAGCATCTTGGCCCTTGATCAGTTGTTTATTATATAAACCTTGCTATTTTAGTGGTTTGTATGTCTCTTCCTTGTGCTCCAGGCACTCTTCTGTTAGAAGTCCAAAAATAAGCAACAAGGATTCTCTTCTTCAGACTGAACAAATCCAGCTGTGTCAGCCCTTCCTCATAAACCATAAGCTCCATCCCCTCTGAGGAATAACAACTAGTTATATGATGTATCATGGAACTCAGATGACTGTTTTGCTTCTGGGACCAAAGCTGGTAGCTTTCTGTGAGCTTGTGCACCTGGAGTTGTTCAGTTGTTTCAGTTGTTTTGGCACATAGGCAGACCCTTAGAAAGTTGATGAGAAAACAGATTAATTTCCTTCTCTGTTTTTCGTGAATACCATTATTTCATTAGGCCACTAAGTACATCTGAAATATTTTGGTGCATTTGGAATTAAACAGTCCCTTACTTGTATGTCCATTCTGGAGACACAGGAGATGTGGCAATGAGTAGCAGAGGAGAATCAGGTTCAGCTGTGATATTAAGGGCAGAGGAGTAAGGAGATTGTAAGGAAGTTCAAAGCAGCCACAAAATGTGACAGTGGCATCACTAGCAGTTGTATATCTGCTGAAGAGCAGAACACTGTCAATCAGTATAAATACCATGTAGCACACACTTGATTTCATTGGACCAGTGACCTTCTTCACAGATAGGGAGGATGTTAATACCTTGACACTCACCCCAAAACATTCTCATTTTTATTGTGATTATGTGCTGAAAGAATCTCTTGCCATTCATCTTGCTATGATTGTGTAATTAATTGAGAAAGTGAGGTTGTACTTCCCAAAGTCTTCACTTGGCCACCTCAGGAGACAGTCCTACAGCATCCAAGTAAAGGCCAGTGGCTGCAACATATGGGGCAAACACATAGTGATACAGGAGCTCTATCTGCACCTTAAAGTAGTCAAAGCAAGATTGTAATACACAGTGACAATAGGATCAAATTTGTAGCAGAGAATGTCTCATACATCCACCATGAAATTGATCAAAATGCTCCTGATTCCTCTTGTACACTTTCTGTTCTGTTTTTGATGCAGGAAAGGGCAGCATAGAAACTACTGCCTGCACCCAAGTGTTACAGCTGTATTCCATGCTGGGATTTATGGGGCAGGCACCAGAAACAGGTGTAGCAGAGCCAAGATGGAGATGTCTCTGCATGAGTATAATTTTCAAACTGGTGATGAACCTATCTCTCAACTTTGACATTGTTGAATGATAGCTATCCACACTGGAATGGAGAAAGTCAAAACTACCCAGGGTTTAATTTAAAAATTTCTTATGAAGTGCCATGTAAGAAAATGCCTGTGACTAAAGCTATTTTGCACCATATTTCTATGCCTCAGCCTGCTATTATGGAGCAGAGAGTTAGTGGCATTCTCATGAAATGTAAACCACCAGGTCTATGTGTCAGAGTCATTAACTGCCTCTTAGCACTTTGCCAGGTCCTAGTCTGAAACTAAAATTTCTAATTATTTTCTTATCTGAATTTTCTACCATGGATTTAATTCCTTTTCTACTGGCTAGAATTCTACATTTTCTGTCAGATTTTCTTCATACTGGTATGGTTTCAATATTTTAAACCAAAATGGAAAGACTTTCAGATAAATACCTAGAAAACTAGAGTAAAAATTTGCATTCCAGACGACATAGTCAACATCATCTTACTTTACATGTATGTGAGACTCATCTTTAGTCTTAAACATGTGATGAAGTGAGTGGATCTGTCTTATTTAACTTTTGGAAGTGAATAATTTTACAGAACTTCTGAACTGCCAGTTGTTTTTCAGTGAAGTTTTAGTCTGGGTGGATATGTGCATTCAGTTACAGGCTGCTCAGAAAGCCATTCTACCAGAAACAGTGGAGTGAACACTTACCTATTAACAACAACATAGAAAATAAAGACATACAGGGATTTTTTTTTAAATTCACTTCCAGGAAACTTCACTGTTGGTTGTAAGGTTGTGGCAAATAATTAGTCAGGGCGTTAAAAATTTACAAAAACTAGAGTTGACACTTTACTGTCTTGGAATTCTTATGATCTTCTCAAATTTAATTAAATCAATATCACTTCCTATTCTTTGGGCTGTAACTTCAGTTACTTTGGAGGATTGTAGAAATTAGACTTTTAAAAGGATTTCAATAGTGCCTGTTTAATTCCAGAAAAAAAATATTTTCTTATGAGGTTATAAACATGAAAGATGAAGATTCACTGTAATTAGGTGCATGAGAATTTGTGTAATTTATTTTCTATATTATTTTGTCTTCTTTATTTCTGTTGAATTTTTCTTAGACTTTGGGGTTGTCTGCTATTTTCCAGTCATGTGTGCACTGAGTAGTATTGAAATGAACTGCATTTATCAGAAATGGTGGAAAGTATTTTGTATGTGTTGTTTTGTTTTTATCCCTATAGTTGCCTGATGCCTTATAGCAATTTTCTTTCTCTTGCTTTTTTTCAGGATTAACAACCTTGAAAACACATTCATCATTTTGTCAGGCTTGACCAATGAATTTTATAAAAACTTGAGGATATTTCCAAAATATCTGCCCAACAACTGTCCAAATTTCAGTCAAGGAGAGCCTACTAATAGAAAACATGCCATACATTTTTTATCTGTGACTAATAATGCCTTCATTACATGGTGAAAGTCTGCTGGTGGAGGAAGAAGACTCTTTTTGTTAAGAAATTTTTCACTGGTGAAAAAGGCTGGCACCCCTTTATAATATGAAGTCCTTTGAGAAAGTCTGGCTGTTTCTACTGCTGCCTGTCATGTTAAGAGTTGTGTGCTCCTCCTTTATTAGTGTGAACCTTGGGTTGAAAGTGATGAAGGGACAGTCAAAGAAGACTCTTTTTGTTAAGAAATTTTTTCACTGGTGAAAAAGGCTGGTACCCCTTTATAATATGAAGCCCTTTGAGAAAGGCTGTCTGTTTCTACTGCTGCCTGTCGTGTTAAGAGTTGTGTGCTCCTCCTTTATTAGTGTGAACCTTGGGTTGAAAGTGATGAAGGGACAGTCTGTCTTCCTGTCAGAAGAAGACCTCAACTTTTCCATCCCCAGAGAGAAAGATGTCTGCAAAGTAGAAGTGATCAATGAGCCAATAACACAGAGGGTTGGGAAACTCACTCCACAGGTATTTGGTCTCTGTTTTGCTGCCTTGAGTGTTAGTGAGTGCAGATCTGGGAGAAACTAAAAGGAGCTGCTTGATTGATTTTTGTTCTTCTTTTTGGTAGTGACTAAAGGGCATGAAACTGAATGGTGTGTGAGATTAAGCCTTTTGCTTAAGTAGACAGCTGGCAGAGAACTGCAACCCTGAAACCCAAAAGCTGAGCTCAGTAGCATGAGTGCACAGAAGTGAGTCTGGTCAGAGTCTCCTTTCACAAGTGGAGAATGGGTATTTCAAAATTTCCAGTTAGGAGGAGATATACTCTAATTTCTCAGCTGCTTGTTTGTCTCCCAGGAGGGTAACCAGTGCCCCTTGAATAATGCATAGCCCACTACAGCATTTTGAATTTTAGTCACAGAGCCACTACTTAAGGATTAATTAAGAAAAAAATAATCACATACAATAAGCACATTGTGTGCAGCATTGTTTGTTCTGCTCTGCAACAGCCAAATTGTTAGCAGATGGCAAATACATTAAAACTCCCCTGTTTTCTTTTCAAATGTTGAACTTGTAGGAATAATGAAATATATTTCACATATTACCATTCTGCTACTCATCTGCTTTACAATTTGCCCATCTGAGTTATAGCAGGAAGGAATTGAACACATTTGTCATGAAGATGTAATGTTATAGATGGAAAATAAATAGTTTTAATGGTTCATACCCAAGCAGGTTTTGGTGTTTGAAAAACTCTAGTTTGTGCCACAGCATACATTTTTGTGTGCTTGTATATGCATATAGTTTTCAACCTCCTTTCCAGAGTTTTTGGTGGCTTCTGTGAAGATAGATGAAGGAGCACCAATCGCAACAGATTTTTCAAAACTTCTGCCTTGGTCATCAGTATTATTTTTGCAAACAACTGACAAGTACTTCAGCTGAATCAGCACTCCTAAGGAGCAGAGGCATACCGGGGGAAACGGGAGGTGATGGGCAAGACAATGTGTGATCTCTAGAGACTGGCCTTGAACAGTGTAGTGCATCTGCTGAAACCAGCCAGGGCTTGTTTTCTGCCAGCCCAGGGACACTGACCACAGTGCTCCACCTCTACTTCTTCAGTATAGGTTGGTCCTTGACTCATACAAACATAGAATTATTAAGGCTGGAAAGACCTGGAAGAACTTTGAGTCCAACCATCAACCCAGCACTGCCAGGTGCACTACAAACCATGTCCCTAAGACCTACCTATATATTATTTTTAAATGTTTCCAAGTATGGTGATTCCACCATTACCTTGGTGAACCTGTTATACCAGACCAACCTTTCAGTAAAGAAATTTTTCATAATATACAACCTAAAGAAGAGGAGGAAAAGAAGGACTTACATGTGAAACCTACGGTGAACCTCTTCTGTAGGCAATCTTTCTGGCTGAGGAGTAACTTTGCTTTTAATTTCTGCCTCAGCTTCTATGTGCAGTAGGACCCAAGTATTTTGAAATATCCACTTTGTCCTGTGTAACCCCAACATGTTTCAAGCACGTAGCAAGAGATCCTTTCCAAGAGATGACAGGAAATGTGCATTCACTGCACCTTATTTTCCAAACAACCTCCCCTCTCCCAGCTCCCCTGTTTTTCATTGCCCTGAATATCTGCCCAGTTGAGTGTGGAAGTTGCCGGCACACATGCAGAGAGAAGAGCTCTGCTGAGCAGCTGGCCCTAGGGCACCAGGCTGGACAAAAACTGTGCCTGCCAACGGTGCCTGAGCTCTCACCATTCCTGAAAAAAGGTACCAGAGTCCAGATCTCCTTGTGGCACTCATGATCTTTCTACAGGAAACTCTACAGCCAGAAAATGTCTCTGATATGGTCTGGTTTACATCCATCAAATTGAGTAATGTTGTAGGAATGTATGACAATTTAATTATAAATTGTAATTGAAAAGCAGTTGAAGTGGAAAAATCCAAAGCTCAAGAGTAATTAGGAAAATATTTAGATTTCCTTTGTCTTACCCAGTGAATTTATAGACAATTAGAGTTGCCTGTTCATACAAAAGGAAAACATATCAGGAAACATAAACCAGATGTTTCTTTTTGCAAAGCAGATTGTGTCTCAATGCACATATAAACTGACTGTCAGTCACTGGTAACAAACCTTAGTGGAAAGGTTCTAAGTTTTTCAATCTCTTGTTACCAATTAAGATGCGGAATTTAATGATGTCTTAAAAATAAAGACATTAATTCCTGGATATGATTGGACCCAGTGAGAAGCATCTCAGGGTCCTTAGGGAACTGGTTGATGTAGCTGTGAAGTCACATTCCACAATATTTGAAAAGTCATGGCAGTCAGGTGAGGATGGGTGTGGTACCCATGCTTTAAAAGGGTAGATATTTCCTGGGAATTATTGACCTGTCAGCCTCTGCTCTGTGCCTAGGAAAATCACGGAATAGATCCTCCTAGAAGCTGTGCTAAGGCACACGGAGGACCAGGAGGTGATTCAAGACAGCCAGCATGGCTTCAGCCAGGGTCTGACCAACCCATTTGCTTTCTGTAATGCAGTGACTCCATCAGTGGGCAAGAGAAGGGCTCTTTTATCTGGACTTCTATAAAACCTTTGGCCTTGTCCCCCACAATACCCTTGTGTAACCAAAATCCTACTGACTTTGACGGCTCTGCACTGATTTCCATCAGTGAAGAATCTTACTTGCAGAGTACAGCATTAAGCTTCTGAAGGTACAATATGAGTGGCTTTTGTATAAAATGCACTTATTTTTTTTCTTTAAGATAGCATATAACATAACAGCTTAATCTTATTTTCCATTTTTGTAGACTATCACATAAGACTATCCAATTTATTGCTTAAATATTATGTTCCTTTATGTTAGTTTTTACTAAGAAAGAAAGGACATTAAGTAAGAAAATGACATATTTTTTGATTTTATTTGAAAAAAGGCAGAGCACATATTTTTATGGCATTTGAAAATAATGCATAACAGAACAGCCACAACACAGTCAAAACTTTAATCATATGAGAGTACTTTTGTTTTCCACGTATTTTTCTTGTCCTTGCTTTCTAAGCAGTCCCAACAAATAGAACCAAGCATACTTTTCATAACAAAACAGATTATTCCATGAGGTTAATCCATGTATATATGTCTAAAAATCAACTACCTCATCACTTAAAAAAAGCCCCAACAAACAACAACAACAAAAAAGACTCTGTATAATGCCCTTCTTAATGAAAGTTAAAAGCAGGCAATAAATTAATTTTAATATTGCTTGGAATATAGAAAAATGATCATGTTGCTTGAGCACTTGAAAATTACTTCATTGGAAGTTGACCCTTCCACTAATAATGAAAGCTGAGAAACTCACACTGTTCTTCTATTATAGAAGGATATAATAAGTCTCTGTATAATGCCCTTCTTAATGAAAGTTAAAAGCAGGCAATAAATTAATTTTAATATTGCTTGGAATATAGAAAAATGATCATGTTGCTTGAGCACTTGAAAATTACTTCATTGGAAGTTGACCCTTCCACTAATAATGAAAGCTGAGAAACTCACACTGTTCTTCTATTATAGAAGGATATAAGTTGTATTCTGTGTAATGGTTGAAAAGAAACAAAGTTCAATAATTCTTAAATCCTTTAATGTAAATCCACAAGGTGGTAATGAGGTGCTTCAGTTAAATATGTATTAACAATTAATTTAGAATTAAATGATTACATAAATTTTACATTGAAAATCAGAGCATCCAAAGTTTTTTTTAATATGAGCTACACTTTCAGTCAAGATTTTAGAATCTTAGTAAAATCCCTCAGGCGTTTCACCATCATCTAAAGTAGTTGGGGAAATGAAGACAATTCATGCAAGGCACTCTATTTTCATGATTTTGTCATATTTAAAAAAATTACTGTCATTAGGAAATTACGTCTTCTTTTTTGAAAAAAAGTGTCTAGTCAGTCAGCCATATACATATATTAACTGCTATTAGTTGTGGCCTCGTTATGTCTGTTAGTGAGTTCTGAACAGATTTCATTTTAGTCTGCGGAAGTCCATATAACCACTTGTGAATACTGGCCACCAAAAAATGCACTGAAAACTACATTTAGATTCACAGTGGAATGCTTAGGAAATGCAGTGATTTTGATTTCTTGCTGGCTAGAATATGCCTTTTCTCTCTGTGGATATGAAACATGAGTATCTTCCACCCTCTGTGGACTGTGTTGGGATTCTCTGTTACCACAAGGTTAACAGTCTACCAATGCTAGGAGCTTTCCGCTGGTGTTTTGCTAAAGAAACAATACTGCACGGGAATTACAAATTGCCGGTCTTGCCAATTGCAGTATCTGAGAACATGGAAATTGTATTTCTCAGAATCCAAATCTCTTTTCCAAAGAATGTGTGTGTCAAAGCAATATTTTTTCTATTTGTGTTAGGCATGTTTCCTCATTGTCTTGTTTTCACAAGCCAACCAACCATTAAATAAATCAATCTGCCTGAAAGAAGTGTCTGTCTTAGATGGTTAGACTGTGGCCAGACAGACTCACAAATTTTGCCTGTGTCAGATATGTTGTAAGAATTAGTCTATTTTGATTTAGCTGGTAGGAAATCATGGGTGTCTTCTTGCTTTTGTGCTGTGGATTACACTGATTTTGGGCCTGGGTGTTTGTAAGGCGCAGAGATGATGTCTGATCTAGAAAAGAGCTACTGGTACAAAGTCAGTATTACAAAAACTGGGAACAACTCTAAATTAGCAAAGTTTCTAACAGAAATTTCACTGGGTCATACTTTTGTGGTGTAGTTGTAGTGGAAATAAAGAAAGATTTAGTGTACAATCAACTACTGTCATGAGCAATTTTAGAAGTCAATACATCTCAAATTATAATGCTGGACCTGCTGGCTTTTCAGCACCACTGCATTTGTATGTACTGCTGGGTATATCTACACCCTTAACTCCACAGGTTGCAGTGGTAAATAAGGTGAGGTCAAACTATTTGTTGTGCTGGGAGGGACTTGGCAGCCTGAAACAATCACATATGACCTTTGCTCTTCTGACTGTGGAGCACAGGCAGCCCCATGTTAAGTGGTTTCTCTGACTCTCACTGGGAGATTACAGTACAGGTGAATACCTGTTCATAAAAATGAACTACAAATTAAACATTTTCTCAGTCTGATGCACTCAGAGAGAAGTGGAACAGGGGTTGTGAAGTTAACATCTTTGGCAGTGTGGTGCCAGTCTATTCTTTTCCTTTATAGGTTTTTGACTGTCACTTCCTTCCTAATGAAGTCAAATATACCCACAATGGATGTCCAATTTTAGATGAAGACACGGTGATGCTTAGGCTGTACAGGTAAGCAGCAGATCACACTTCAGCAGTTCATTTTTTACAGTTAAAGCATGTTCTGCTGTACATGTTTGTAACTATTTAGATCCAGTATCTACATCATTAGCCAAGAAGTGACCATCTGTTTACAGAAACATTTCTCACCATGTATTGCAGATACGCTCATTTAATGTGTGTTATGTATTGGCTCTGGTTTATTACACAAAGCCAGTGATTTTTCATTATGCTATGGAAAGTGGCAATAGCACTTTCAGAGTACTGCAGGTTCTATGCTATCCTGCTGATAGGGACAGACACTCTCATATACACCCAGAGAGTAACCTCTTCCTTCACACACACACACCCTTATAAGTAGGGGGATTTGAGCAGTAGGATCTGGGTTATGGTGATTCAAGGCTTGAGCACACAAGAGAGAAATCAGTTAAAGGAATTCTGTTTTGAAGATGAGAACAATGCCTAAATCACAAAGCAGCAGAAGATGTTATGAAGCATAACTAATTTTCTTTCACTTGCAGGTTTACAGAAACGGAAACGTTTGTAGAAACATTCACCCTTCATGTGCAGTTGCTTGAGCCAGACTGTAACATCATAAAAATGCGCTCCCATGCTTTGGAGGTCCCTGAATACTATGGTCTGTCTAGGGTGATTGACAAGAACGTCCTCACCTTTGATTACGACAGGAAGATAAACCTGGATTGCACCATTTCCATAATCTCTTCAGAAACACACCTGCCTGCTCATGGCCAGCTTATCACCGGGAAAGTGCAGCAAGGGCAGTTTCGTGGAGATCAGCCATGGAGCTTCTTCCCTGGCACTAGTACGACCTGCTTTTGTTGTTTGCACTAGCACCTTCAAAGAGACGCAGCAGATTAAGTCTGGAGCGGTGGGTTGTTTCAGACATGCAGTGTAACGGTGGGTGGTGTGAAGTTTAATGAACAGCTTGAGCTATTGTGGGCGTGAAAGGGACATGAAGTTTTTGTGAGGCACCATGCAGATCACAGATCTGGGTCAATAATTCCTTGACTGGAATCTGTTTCTGGCCCATAGACATGTGGACCAGTGTGACAGCTTTGTGTATGCCAAGACTCAGTAGAAATAGCACAGGTAGTTGCTGGAGCCAGCACCTAACCAAAATACCAAGGTAGGATGGCTTTCGAAGACATCAGAGGAAAACAAAATCCTGTAGGAGAAATTAAGGAAAGGAGCCCTACTTCTCATCACACTGTCTCTCTCAGAGTTACTTTAACTACATGGGCAGGTTCCCCATGGTGGTTTCTGCTCTGGTAACTTTCACTATTGCTTTTGGGTTACAGAGCACAGCTTGGGCCAACAGTGCAGAAATGGGAGCTGTACACTGGGACTAGGACACATTAACAACAAAAAGATGAGTTGTGAAGAATTTCTGAGGATGGGAATTCAGTATCGTCACCTTGATCCCCCCTCACCTGACACTGATTATATTCCTGTGAGGTTGGATCTCTCAGACAGCAGAAGCAAAACTCTGCACAAGGTAGGTTTTTATGCAAGTTTATAATGTCTGATTGTCATTCTGTGGTTTTTGTCACTGTTGTTTCTTTTTTTAATATTTTTTTTGCTCCTTGTAACACATGAAGAGAGATAGGGAGCCTTTAAATTTTTTCAGTTCTTAGAAATTTGCCAGTTAAGCTAATGAAAGGCATTATCTCCATGCCTCTATGATTAGACCATTATGGCTACAGAGAAACACCTCTGATTGATTACTGTCAGACATAAGTAGTTTATCCTGAGAGAAAAATTAATTCTGGCATAATTCCACAACTTTTGTACACCATGATCTGCACTGACTTCCGCATACACAGTTAATTATAAGTTAAGAGCTCTGTGAACATATTCAGTTAATAATAATTAATAGCTGTTTCTGTGCATGTTTCTGTCAGACAAAGTTATTCATTAAACTCACATCAAATTAAGTAAGTCATTTCAGCCCCAAATTAAGGACACAAATAAGACTAGTGAACCTGAAAGTCATATTCATGATGTCTCAATATTTACTCTAGTCATTTTCTAATTAAAATATTTCAATTTTTCTTTTCAAAATAATTATTGCTTTAACACGTACCCTGATTTGCTATGCGAAGCTAGAAGAAATTTGATTTATTTTTTCACTTTTCTTTGCCTTTTCAGTTGTGTCATTTTTTTCCTGTTGTAGACGGAGTATGCATGGCTCCCTGTTCAGATCAGAGGTGCTGTTCCCAACCAAATACCCAAAGCTGCCCCAATGGCAAAGTTCATCCTGGAAGTAGATCAATTTATTTTAACCCCTATCACAACCACAACCATTGATGCTGAAGACAATGAAACTCCAAAGTCCCTGCTTATATTCAACATCACCAAGCCACCTCCACAAGGCTTTATCACTCACCTCTCTGACCACACAAAACCTATTGGCTCCTTCACGTGGAAGGATCTCAGTGACATGCTCATTGCTTATCAGCCTCCAAATAACAGCCACACAGAGAGGAGGAATTATGAGGTAACAGTGGGATGTGTGAACATTTGCTGGTTTTCCCTCCTTAAGATTAAGTAAAACGGAAATAAATGTAATCCCATGTAATGTATAGTTTTCAGGAAAAAAGGGTTTTAAAGCCATATGCAATACAGGAGCAGAAGCAAAATCTTATACCATTTTCTCCTGTGACACATCATCTTAACTAACAAAAAATAGATGTTTATTGTTCACTCCATGAGAATTTCTTTGTACTGAAAACCTTTTATCCCCACTAACTGAGAAATACCTAAACAGTTTTGTGAGGAATAGTGAAGTAACAGTGCTTGTAAATCTACCCAAAAGTCTTTGGAAAGATCAGTGGTGCCTTTTCTACACAGCCTTTATCCCTGCATGATGTTACTGATCTCTGTGACCTGTGCAGAGGTGACATATTTAAAGTCATGAAAGATAGACCAGTTAAAGGCCAGCATTGCTCTTAGGCCTTACAGCCTACCTGCTGTGATAATGGTGGTTTAGGGATAAAAAAAAAGGGGGTCCCAACAGTTCCTTCTGGGCAATTGATGCTGATTTGTCTCACTTTTTTTTTTCTTGGCTGTCACAGGAACCTCCTTTCCCTCTTTCCTTAAAGTGAGGACCAGACATCCTACCAAAACATCTGCTTCTTAAGTGCCTCATCTCTGTTCTGCTTTCAGCATTGTCTGCTTGCAGGTTGAAGAGCTTGACAGTTCTAGAGTCTGAAAACTCAAGAGTTTGATTTTTTAAAAATTTTATTTTTTCTGCACTAGCACATATATTTTCTGTCATATCTGTTTCTGGTCTTACACATCTTAAACCAGCAGGAAACGTCTCCTCCACTTTTTATTACTACTAGTTAAAAAAAAGCTCTGTATTAATTGATGATTTAACTGTACCCCAAATAAAATTAAAATTGCACACACTACACACTAAATTTCACCGAATTCACTGCAAAGTGCAAAGAAGGCAGATACTCAGTTTTGTGCATAACTTCCGTGGCTCTTTTTAGAAGCTAATTCAAGTTTTGCTTATTAACATATTATCAGACACCTGTAAGACCTCTCAGGAGAGAATGCACTATATGTGTTTTGGAGTACATTTGGTTTCCAGTTTTCAATAATTTGTTTTCACAACAGGTGGAGTTTGAGGTGCATGACTTCTACTTTGAGAGGAGTTTACCAATCACTGTGCATCTTTCTATCAGAACAACAGATACAAATGCCCCTCGAGTTTCGTGGAATACAGGTGAGATCTCTTATGCTAAGTTAATTTTGCTTCAGAATTCATAACATTTTGACATACATATTTGAAAAAGCTCTAAAAATCAGATTTGCACCTGAAGTCTAAGAATGATTAAATTGAAAGGGCAGAAACCTATTTTCCTCTATATCCATTTTGGAGGGAACATGTTACAACAACTTAAAAAACATCTAATGTCTTAACTGGAATGAAAAATAAAGAAAAAATGGAGTTACAGTAAAACTGTTATTTATTTATACAGCATTTTCTTGAAGAATGAGCTGTACATAGAAAAAGTATGAATATTAAGAGCAAATATATGATGGAATAGGGAGAGTGGGGTAGCATGTGGGAAAGACTGAGGTTTGTTGGTGTTGTTTAAAATGGAAGTGTGCAAAAATTAACAACTAGGGAAAAGGGGCATGATATACCACCAGCATTTAAAGCCTGGAAACCTTACAGGTTAGGTCTAATTCAAACAGATTTGTAATGTCTGCACTGGAAAGGAAACAGAGTCTCTCATCTAGAGTGCACTGATATTTAATCATCAAAAAAGAAGATATATAAGACCAAACATGTCTAGAAATTAACACCAGGGAAAGTGCAGTTTTCCTGCAGTAGAAAAGGAAAGGAGTTGAGAAGTTTCTTCTGGAGAAACCTCACCTGAAATTACTATCTAATTAAGGAGCACCGCCCTTGTCGGGAAGATCAACATATGTTTTTAACTGCAAACTCACTAAAGAATCTAAATGCCCAGTTTCAGACATTGTGAGATTTCAAGTGCAATGCATCTGTCACTGCAAATGTCCAGAAATGTGCCTCATTAGATTATCAGATAATTAGAAACCAGGTGTCAAGGAAATTTCCTGCCTTACCTTTCAGATACCCCTCTCTGTGAGACACAATTGCACTACCCAAGACTTTCACTGCTGGGACTGAAGCCATTCACAGCAGGTGGCTCCAGTGACCTGATGGATGTCCTGCTTGACTTCATACACTCACCACACACACACAGACAACTTTCTGTTACTGGCTTAGTCTGGGTTTCCCATATCAGAATCCTAGCTGTCTGTTTCCTTTATGTAGTTTAACTGTGGTGCAGCAGCACAAAATTAGCTCAAGCAGGGTGTCTCCAGAGGGGGACCCTGAACATGGGAATCCCTGACTTTTATACCCCCACAATCTGTGTGTACTTGTTCCAGTGGTGATATTTGTTCTTTGTTGTAGTCTCTGGGTGACTAGCTGCACCCCATGCCCTCTTTTAGGCAAAGGATCTGTGCCCATTGATGGTTCTTTCCCTGGGGCTCCAGATATTTTCCCCCACCCAGGACACAACGTGCAACTTGCATGTGAAGCTACCTGCACTAGGTGGATTCTGCAACATCAGAATTGGTATTTCTCTGAAAAAGATTCCTTAAAGACAATGAAAAAATTCAAGTGTATCAGAAGCTGTTATCAGACTTTTAGGTGGCCTCAGAATCACAGCATTATAGAAGTATTAAGGTTGAAAAAACCTCCAAAATTATCTTCATCTCAATATCATCAGGCCCACTAAACTATATAATGAAGTGCCTTGTCTGCTTGTTTTTTGAATACTTCCAGTGATGGTGACTCCACTGCTGCCCTGGGGAGCTTGTTGCAAAGCTAAATTACTCTTTCAGTGTAGAAGTTTTTCCTAATTTCTAAACCTCCACTAGAACACCTTTCACATAGAGGTGGGCAGATAGAATTAAATATTCTGGATTTTTCCTCTGGTTGGAAACACCTTTAGAAGTGTTAGATACTGACAGTGACGTAACCCCCTGCTCTTTGCAGGCCTCAACCTCCTAGAGGGGCAATCCCGACCCATCACATGGCAGCACTTCCAAATTGTAGACAACGATGACATCCAGAACGTTCGCTTGGTCGCAGTTGATGGCTTACAGCATGGGCGGCTGTCAGTCAGAGGTAGGTAATTTCAACTGCAGAGGCTGGAAAAAATCTCCTCTATGGTAAAACAACAGCTCTGCTCCCTCTGCTGACCACCTCCCCCTGCTACAACCATGCTAGGCATGGAAATTAAAACAGGAATGTTCAAAAAATTCTGTATTTAAACCTTTACTTTCCTAATCTATGTTTCCACTCCAAAGGCAAACTTTTAAAGAAATAAGCTATGCTTTCATTGAGAAACATGATTTGGGAGAAACACAGTCAATACGTTTTCAGTTCTTACATTTTTGCTTGCAGATGTTAAAGAATGCCAAGTGATTTTATTTTGTTGGCAAAAACAGACAACATTTGGATATAGTTGTTACTGGCAGCTTTAAGGTTTATTCTAAAAAGTTGAAATTAAATTAGACTTCTAACTCATTAGCCTTCTGCATTATCAATATTACTAGTTTTGCTCTCCAGCATATCAGTCATCACAGTGCTTGGGAAAAAGGTTATGTAATGGAAATCACTCTGCTCTTGGCAGGGTGGGAACATGTTGCCACTATCAATGCTGAGGTTTTTTGATAGTTAAATGTGTTCATGTGAAATGCATAACCTAAAGACATAAAAAAAACTATTTAAAGAAAAAGAAAGGTGGTGTTTTGAATATAGCAGACCTAGAAACTATTCAGAAGTAAACTTAACTCCAGGAAACTCCTGACAAGTAGTCCAGTGTCTGCAAGATCATCCTCCTGCAAAGCTGTAGACAGGAACTGTGTGTTGTCAGCAGTGCTAGGTGGGTTCAGCCCCAGAGACAGTGTCAGGAAGACTGTGCAGCCAGTCAGAGCCCATCTCCTGGTGGCAGTCCTGCCCTTGCTACTGCATTTGAGGGTTTCTCAGGCTACCATGCACCAGCCAGAAGCGGGAATTTTATCTCCAGTGACTATGCCTTATTCTCTTTTGTCTCTCCTCACGCCAAGGAAAACATCATCACAATTTCTGGCAATTGTATTTTTTTTTTTGTAAGACCTTAGAGGAATGCTTGGCTTCTTTTCTTGGTGGCCCTGGGGAGATCATTCTTTTTAGCACAACTTGCAGTTCTTGAATCCTTTAGCTTGCCTGAATATTTGTCTGTATGCATAACATTTCCAGTGAAGCAGAGGTATAAAACTGTCTTATTACAGACTATAACCTCAATATACCAAAATATCTACATCATTATATTTTACTTGAAATAAAATACTGATCTTTAATTACAAATATATATTTTTTGATATATTCTTTGATGCTTAAAATGCCTGTAAAATGCTCTGAAAGGAAAGTAGAGGTTGAAATTAAAGTGAAAACAATCACAGTTAAAAATCCTTGATGTCTCCAGTTACCTTTAGTGACATTTGGAGGATTTTCTCTGCTGTCACAGTTACAAATTTTGCATTCTTATTAGCTATTTCAAGTCCTACAAACTTTTTTTTTGGTAGGCGAAGTTACATTTGATTTTGCTAGTTAGCAACATGTTGCTCATCTCTCTCCCTCAATAATCTTCATATTAGTGGAAAGATACTCTTCTGGGCTGAACTACACATTTTTGATGTGTTTTCTTGCATGGTTTTGACAGGAGGGAAAGGATTCATGTTCACCGTCTCTGACATTCAGGCTGGAGTTGTCCACTACCATCATGATGACAGTGATTCTACTAAGGACTTTGTGGTATTTAGAATTTTTGATGGCTCCCAAAGTATTCGCCACAAGTTTCCAATAAATATCCTCCCTAAAGATGATAGCCCACCGTTTCTTATCAGTAATGTGGTCGTTGAAGTTCATGAGGGACAGACAATCCTGATTCAGCGTTCCATGCTTCATGCTTCGGACATGGATTCCAGTGATGACTACATACTATTCAATATTACCAAGCCATCACAAGCTGGAGAAGTCTTGAAGAAACCAGGACCAAACTTGATAGGTAATGAAGCACATCCACTATAGTGCACTTTTCTTTGTCCTCTCCTTTTAAAAATACAGTAAATGTTCCAGTCAGACATCTTATTTTGGCTCAGGACAAATAATGGCAAATTTGGACTTATTTCACTGTAGTGTAAAACCCCATCACTAGTTAATGTTGGTCTCTGCACTAGCATAACTGTTTCTGTGTACACAGTTTATTCTGTAATTTTTCAATTTTGAGTCAATTTTCCTGCAGTTCTTTACTCTGGAAAAAGTATTGGGCTGATCAGGAGTTAGTTTGCATGCATGGATCTGTGACAAACTCAGAGACAAGACATGATCCTAATTATGCTAAATAATGAGAAAACTCTTCTTCCATGCAACAAGCTAGAAATTCCTGTGCTAGGTTGTAGAAGCTGCTAGTCCTGCAAATTCTCTTCTGAATTTCGAACAGGGCTTTCAGCCTGTTTGCTTCATGTTTTGAATGATCTTTAAGTGACACAGAAAAGATGGTGATAGTGATCTTCAGAGAATGTGGAAGACAATGACAGAACATTTCGAAGTACTTTCTCCAGTTAGGGTGAAAAAGAGGACATTATACTTCCCCAGTTACTTGGACAGCTAATGCATAACTTTAATGTGGTATTAAAATCATGGAGTGTTCAATAGAAGATAACGTCTTAATTTCAACAGGGTATTCTGTCAAGAGTTTTCTTCAGAGGGATCTATTCAATGGAATGATTTATTATCATCATTTGGGAGGAGAAGTATTTGAAGATTCCCTTGAATTTGTGCTATGTGATAGCCATGACCCTCCAAATCTCTCAGAGCCACAGGTATGGAATGGAAGCATCTTTGCAGTCTCCTGAATATTTTTCTTCAAATGGCTGATATCTTTACATGTTCTGACAGGCTTTCAAATAAAACTGGTATAGATTTTTTCTGATAACAGTCATTACCACAAACTGTGTTTTTCAGGACTATTTCTTGTTCTTGCTTTCAATGGAGTAATTCTCTCCCTGGCTGAATAGAGTCAAGTTCATAAAAAAAAAAACTTCTTCCTATGCTATAAAACAAAATGTTGAAAGCAAATCCTGTTTGGGGACAGTACAAATTAAACAACCCTCCTGAAGTCAACTGAGAATACACTATTTTTTTCATGCAAGAGCCCAAAATACTGAATTTAAATTTGCATTTAAATAAAAGGGAAACCTTTAAGATTCAAAAGCTTTGCCTTTAACTGTTATATACCTTCATTAATCATGTGTTGACAAAATGGCATGACTGCCACATGTTGTATCTCACAGTCCAGTGATCCACATCTGTGTGCTTGCTGGTGAACAGCTTCTTGGAACACTCTTACTGAGAGCAATGGCTAATGATTCTACTGTCTCCCCAATTGCAGGTGATGATGGTCCACATTATCCCTGTGGATGATCAGCTACCCAGAGAAGCTGCAGGAGTGACCCGTCACCTGGTTGTTAAGGAGACTGAAATTTCTTACCTGACTAAGAAACATCTCCACTTCATAGATGTGGAAGAGCAAGACAGGGAGCTCACATACACCATAACCACTTCCCCATTTTTCTCTTGCACCCATGGGTAGGTGCAACCTGACATACCTTTCAGATGGGACAGGGGAATAACCCATATCAGAGCAGCAGCCTCAGTGGCAGGCAGTAACATTCTTGTGGCTCAAGTTCTTCCTCTGTTTGTTGAAAGTGCAGGTGACAATAGTCAGGTGCAGCTCTTCTGTTGATGATTAAGGGTAAGCTAGAGCCTGAAGCAACAGAGTAATAAAAAATAGGTAATTAATAGTTGAGCAAGAAATAATAAGGAGTAAGTCTTGTGAAATACTTTCTTTCCTTTTGTTTGATATGAATTTTACACTGACTTTTGGGATCCTGCCTCAAGCAGAAGTCACAGCACCTCTTCTAACTGTTAGAATGGGGCTGACCTGTGTCTGCCCTAGACTGAGACCAGGAGGTGCTGCAGCTTTTTCAAGAATATGTATCAGACACTTCCGATTGTGGACTAGGAAGATGTGGAGCAAAAAACAAGCAAAACATACTGTGGGAGCAAGGGAAGTATGGAATGAATGGGTGCAGTAGCAGTTTACATCACTGGTGCTGTATTCTCATTAGAGCATCAGCAACAATTAGCTAAACAAAACGTTTTAATCCAGAAATTGCATGCTTTAAGATGAAGATTAACACTTTCAATTTTGACCTCAAGCAGCAAAGGATCATTATGTAGCTGGGGGAGAAGGCAGTTTTCCTAATCAGTCAAATAGCCACATGGTTATCCAGTTTGCTGGTTACTGCTGTTGGAAAGCTGGGTTGCTGGAAACGGGTTAATTTCAGAGTTTATAAGATGTATGAAGCTAGAAATAATTAATGTTTCCACTTAAATATAAATGTAGGTGTGCAAGTAATAATAATACTGTGGACTAGATTTCCAGGTGGTGTAAATAGTATCTGGGTGTAGAGACACACTTGCAGTAATACCAGAGCTTGATTATGAGGTGATTTTTCATGATCATCCTAAAAAGTATTTCTTTTCATCAGTTTTCTGTGGTAATATTAAAATGAATAACAAGGATGGAAGAAAGGAAAATGTTTTTTCTTTCAATGCAGTTGGAAGTGCAAAGTTAATTTGAAATGCAAGATTGAGCTACAAGGCTATTTTTCTTGTTCTTTGGTATTGCTAGCCAAGATGTGACACATGTTTTTGTGCAGCTACTCAGATGCTGGGAAACTGTTTATGGTGGACACCATCCCCAAACTGGTCAAGGATCCTACTGCTCTTGCACTGCGGTCATTTACTCAGGTTTGTTATGTTACCTGATACCATAATGAGTTCTAAACAATTTTTAAATGTTACACATGTACATTTGACAGTAAAACAAGAGGTGAAAACTGAGGAGCAGTACTATCACAATCTTTGCTTAAGAAGCTCAAAACTCTGCTATTGCAATACCAGATTTTAAAACAAATTTCTATCATGTTTCAGTTTTGCAATATGTAAACACAAATGTCTTAAAATCAGTAGGGGCTACAGTTGCTTGGGTAGGTAGAATTTGGCTCCACATGATGAAAGAGGAATGCAAAAGTATGCAAAATGTGGAAATGAGATCTTGAACAGTTTCTTGCTTCATGTCAGTGTCTCCACCAGTAGATACCAGTAGTACAGGATAGAACAGGCTAGAACAGACTTTTTCAGGATTTTGTAATTCAGTTTTCGTGCTTTCGTAGTTTGACAAATAAGTATTGCTGAAGTGTCCTGTTTAATATCCTGTATGGTTAAAGTTGCATAATGATAATTGCAGAACCATAACGAGAGCTCTGACACTACAGACCCTAAACCATGTGCCTAATATGGGTATCTGGACACAAGATTTTGATGTGCCTCTCACTGGCTTGTCCTCACCATGAAACACAGGGCATGCAGTTACTGTTCATACTAATGAGGGCAAATTCAGCTGCTATGGGAGATGTTAGCTTTCATGAATTTTTAATTTTAAAGTCACAGTTAGAAAAGGTCCTTGGACCAGCATTTTGAAAGGGATCCATAAAGAAGCTCAGGCCATCACCTCTGCTATCACTCCTAAACCATATCTATATTTTTTGCTACAGGTTTGAGTACTTGAACCTGTACTCATCTAATTTGTACCTAACGATGCATTTAATCAAGGTACGGCTAGTAGCTAAAGAGTACATGGAAAATCTCTAAAATTTATTTTGATGACTGGATGACACCTAAACAGGGGATGATAATGATCCCTAATGTCATGGATTATGAATACCCCCATCATCTCCTCTTACATGCACCATTCTTCTCTTTTTGTAGCATGCTGTGAACTATATGAAAGTTGCTTACATGCCACCCCTGCAGGACATCGGACCTGAACCTCAGCAAGTCCAGTTTATTTTTTCTGTCAGTAACCAGCATGGAGGCACTTTGTATGGGATCTGCTTCAATATTACAATTCTTCCTGTGGACAATCAAGCCCCAGAGGTAGGGTGGTGGGTAGAGTAGGAAAGGGAGAAGGAAGGACTTGGAAATTGTTTTGGGTAGAAACAAAATGCAGAGAAATGTCTGATTTTACTGAGAAAAAAATGAATTTTCCATCGGATCAGGGTTTCAGAGTCTTGCATCCAGCTTGCATTGGGATAGAGGTACCTGGAGAGTACTTCTCTGGTGAAGTCTGGTGAGGGTGCAATGTAATTTTTTGTGCTAAGCTGAGGACTACCTTTTGCATCGATATATTGGTACAAAAACATATATGTTGCATCTTGGTTAGCAAAACTACATCCCTATATTTTGCGTTGCTTGTTGCCTAAGGAGGTCAGAAGCCTCCAGAAATGGGATGAGAACAAGGTGCACATATTATAGCCCACTGTTGGTAATTTCCTTAGCTTTTCCTAACACAGCAGAAAAGCGATATCCTTTGGCTTTTTTTTTTTTAATGTGTCACACATCCTTATAGCACAGCAAATGAATAACCCTGTTTGGTGTGTATTTAGAGGTGCAGCAGCACAAGAAAGCTCACCATTTCTCCTCCCTGCAGGTTTTCACAACCCATTTGAGAGTGCAAGAGGGTGGCATGAGCCCCGTTACAGAGGGACACATTCTCATCTCTGATTCAGACACGAAACGAGAGCATCTCTTCCTGCTCCTGCAGAAGCAGCCGCAGCATGGGGTAGTGGAGCTGGATAACATTCCCATGAATGGAGGTGACAGGTTTTCCTGTGAGGACCTGTGTACCCTGGCAGTCAGGTTAGAAGAGTGGTGGCTGTCTTTTGTGGTAGCTGAGGCTCTCAGCTGAATGAGCTAAAGCCTGAAGTGGTGCAGGGCTCACTATAGCACTATAGCTCTGGCAGAGCTGGTCCAGGACAAGATTGCTGGCTGAACCTTGGGACTGCAATTTCACCATGAAATAATCTATTGAGTGGCTAGGAAATGGGAGTCAGCATGCCTGCTGTAAATAGATTTCTCTGTAAAAGAGCTGCTCCATGCAGGTGAGGAGACAAATTCTGTATTCAGCCATGCAGTTCCCATGAAGAAGACACTGGTGTCAACTTTTCTCTTTTAAAAAAGTTGCATGTTTATTAAGCTTGGTTCGTTTACAAGAAACCTTTTGTTAACATTAATTAATGTAGAGAAGAAAATTTTGCTTCTTTATTTGTGGCAAGAGCAAGACACGACACGTGCATGCAGAGTTAGAGTTCCCTGGCTCTATTTCCATCTGTTAGAAAGTAGGCACTTACCACCATGTTTAGTAAACACCTCACAAGCAGCCAGGACATAGATGACAAATTCTTAGGGAAACCTTTTCTTGGCTGATGAACGGTTTGCTTTGCGAGTTTTCTTATTGTAGGAGACCCAAAAGCCCTTTGGAGAAACTGATTCAGAATCAGCAGTGTTAGGTATTCACCCTTACACAGGGAGCAGCTTTTTATACTGGGAGGGATACATATTGTAAGGCATGATCAGAAAGCATGGATTCTTTTTACCTGTGAAAAATTTGTGTAGCTGTGTAATGTTTTTTCCACAGATATCGTCATGACGGCTCTGAGACTCTCACTGACGATGTCTTCTTTGCAGCCACAGATGGCATCCATTTTATAGAGTTCATCCTGCAGGTCAAGGTGAGTGTGTTGTGTGTTTCTGAGAGCAATTGTCTGTGTGGAGGCAAATGGTTCAAAGTTTGACTTATGACAGTCCTTGCATTACCTTGGAAACTGGAAGATAATGGATATATTAGGCTTCCATTTCAACCCTAGGTTTCAGGTTCATGTGGCTAATTTAAGAGGAGCTTTGACTTGCACTTTTAAATTATAATTATCTAGTTTGCTTTACTACTGCCTTTTATTCTTAATTCAAACGGTTCCTTTTTACTTGTAGAGAAATGTCAGGATACTCTGAAGTGGCATCAGACTGTTAGTTTGAGCTGCAAAGCAGTGTACTGAAACAACTGGCTTCAACTGAAATGAACAGTAAAAAAATCTTGAATTATTTTTCTGATTAGGTGTTGCCTGTGAATGATGAGCTACCTGTTATGCAAACAGGCCTTGTTCCCGTGCTCCACTGCCTGGAGGGTGAAGAAGTAGTCCTCTCCTCGGAGTACATTTATGCCACAGATGTGGACAGCGATGACATGGAACTGGTGTTCATGCTCGCCCGCCAGCCCTCCCATGGAGTGGTGAGGAAAGCTGGCATTGCCGTGGATCGTTTCTCCCAAGCTGATGTCATTGCTGGTTTAGTCACATACAAGCACACTAGTAAGTGAGCTAATGACAGAATTAGAATGAAAGGTGGTTAGACAAGTATTAGTAAAAAAAATCTTACCCAATCTGAATCCATGGCTTTGCACAATTCCAGGAGGAGCTTCTTAGAAACCATGTGTTGTGACTAGGGAAAAAAATAAACTGGCTTTAAAAAAGAGGTGTCTGATAGACAACTACCAATGTTTTAATGTGTTCTCCAAATCCCTGCTTGAACTGAAAACTATATTCGAACAAGTATATGAAAGCACCATAATCCAGGAGGAGCTCTTTCACTGTTGCTGACAAAATATCTTGGGCTTTTTTGACAAAATTATTATTAAGTACAAACTAGAGTATTTTGACTTGTTTTGTGATAGTAAAAAACCCCATTTTTACTTTTTGCTTGCCTCTCCAATGTAGAAGGCTATCTACTTTGGACAGCTCATATTCTTTCCATACCATAAGATAAAGGAAGCTCTCACTTTCTTAATGAGAAACAAAATGTCTAAAAAGCTTTTTTTTGGTGATTTTATTGTTAGTACCTTTTTTTAAAAAAATACTGGCAGAAATCAAGGGCTGGTTAACCCTCTTTCCTACTTAAATTTATCCTTTCATTGGGATTAAAGAGGTTCTCTTTCTACATCTCTGAATAACAGCTTTAGTGGTTTTTTCCTCCCTAAACATTCTGGTTTTCTGTTTAATTATTCTGTAATTCTGTGTTAGCATGGAGAATAGATGTGATATTTTCAAGCTTGGCACTGTTTAAAATGAACAGCTGGTGTTTGAAAAGGAAATACTTAATTGTGGCCTCCATCAACAAACTTTTCTTCTGTGTTCTAAAGATATCACAAACTGTATTTAAATGACAATATTTTGCAGGGACAATGAAGTTTTATTTCAAGGGTGTACCATTTGTGGTTTTAATCTCCAAATTTCTAACATTAAATGTGCTGTCAGTAGGTATCACAAGAGAAGTCTGAGAGTCACTTTCCTTTCCAGGCTCCTTATTAATGGTATCTTGCAGCAATGCAAGATCAGCTGCCAGAAGTGCTGACAGCTGGAATACTCTGAGCCCACAGATGCTTCTTGCAAAGGGTGGCAGTTCCCAGTCCTGTTTTAGCCCACATTTTAAATGTGATTGCATATAAGCATAATATGCAGCACCGTAATAAAGCAGAGCAATAAAGTACAGCATCCCTTGTTATAGTCCATTTTGTAAGGATAAGCATATAGGAATACATGCATCACTTGCTATATGAAAAAGTTTTCTTTTGAAAGGGCATGGATATTACCATTTGTCATAGAGGAACACATACATAAAAGAAATATTTTCCTACATTCCTTGAGAAGGAGTGCAGAAAAAACACTTTTCCCCACGATATAGATATTGTACATACATTAGCGCACAAAGAACAGATCTTGAGCACTATTAGCTGTTTTATTACAATGTAACATAATATCACAACATTAAAATTATAACATTATAATTATTATAATAATACTAAGACTCTTTTCTACACCCTCTTATTATATCATAGAAGTGAGCTGGTTAAAATGAATTACAAACAGCAAACCAAATCTCTAACCAAGCAGCACCCCACCAGACAGAATTCCAGTAATTTTACTGTTGCTTTCTTTTTCTTCTGACTTGATATAGAAGATTGTCCTTGCAGGATAAAAATTAGTCTTCATGAAGTTTTGGTAAATAATTTCTTCTAAATATTTTTTTCCCAGGTGGTGAGATTGGCCTGACTCCTTGCTTTGACACCTTAACCTTGATTGTCTCTGATGGCGAGGCTGGCCTAGATGTGAAAGACTGCTGTTATGAGGGACCTCCTTCTCCCCCAGTTTCACGTGATGATCCATTTCCTGTCTATGACCTTAACATCACTGTGCTTCCAGTGGACAACGAGCCTCCATCAGCTGTAACCGGTGAAAGCTTCCTCTCACTATAGCAGTACAAAATGGGCTACCCAGTGCTGTAATGGCTAAAGACTCAGAGTGGCTTTTTTTGTTATTTGATTTTTAGCATTAGAAATAGTTAGTTGAGATCAGCATACCAAAGTTTTGTATCAGAATTTTCGTCAATTTTATTTTCATTTGCTTGTGCAATGCAAACACTCAATCCAGCTCCCAGTGCAAGCATGAGCTTTCTGCTCTTCACCTGCATGTTTAAAGCATGCAGTTAGAGATGAGAGCACTCAGATCTGCTCCCCACCACATCTACATGCTGATTGCTGCATATGTAAGCTATGTCTAGGTAAAAGTGATCTATATCTTGTCCCTGAACTGAACTCATGGCCTAACAGGCATCAGGTTTATACAGGGCAAAAGCATAAACATAAATAGAGATGTTTATTTACCTTTGTGTGTAGAGCATAAAATAGAAATTTGGGCCTTACCTGAAAGGACAGAATCATTATATTTAATTATTTTAGCAAATAAAGATAAAAGCTATACATTAATAGATGTGAAGCCACATTTTCACAAGTACTCTTCAGAATATAAGAAATTTGGTTAAAATGGAAATAGTGTTCATAATGTACATGTAGTCCAACTGAAGCCTGTCATGTGACATTTCCGTCAGTTTCCTGGGCTTTTTAGTGTGGTCTGTGGTATACATATTAAAAGTATGTTTTCTATATGCTTGTGTCATTCAATGTAATTTGTTTGTAAGTATCATTAATATGTTATATATCTCAGAGAATATTTAAGCATATGTATGAGTAGTTTTGTAATTTGCAGGCACTCACACAAGTAATGTTCTGGAAATGAAGCATTCTCCCAGCAGGGAAATTAAGCAGTGATGCATGAAAAATTGTTCATTATGAGCAATTCTTAACAGCTCTCATGTAATTAATGCTCTGACAAACAGAGGTAACAACTGTTTTTGAGCAGTATATAAACCTTAACTAATAACTTAACCAGTAAAATAATTTCATGATCCCCTTCTTCTCTACTTCCATGATGGCAAAAGCAGAGATGTTGGTGAAAGCAGGGAAGAAACATTAAAATGAAACCCCTCAGTAATTCAGTATTTATTGTATTTCCTCTCTTTGTTATTATTTCCATTCTTATTAACAAAAACAACAGTAAAATCTGTTCATGACCAGTAATGCTTAATATGTTTTTTGTGCACAGGTGCAAGCTTTGTGGTGGAGGAGGGCTCTTCAGCAGCCCTTACTACCAAGCATTTGTTTGCCACTGACCCTGACACCGCTGCAGATGACTTAGAGTTTGTGTTGGTTTCTCCTCCCCAGTTTGGTTTCATTGAAAACATACTGCCTTCTCCTGGGTTTGAGAAGAGCAACATTGGAATAAGCATAGGTAAGTCACAACAATTTAGGATAATCAAGCAGATTAGATCTGGAGGGCTTGTGGAAAGCTCTGCAGTGGGCTCTGGTGGTGCAGATGCAGGTGTGGCCATTAATAGGGGCTTATTAAGGAACGCAGGTGCTGACAAATGAAGAGCAGTGGGACTTTATGGAGGAGTTCAAAGGAGACTGGAGCAATGCAAATGTGAAGAACTGGCCCTTGAAGCAAATAAGGCAATCCTTGTTTTATGCATCCAGCTGACAGCTATTAGAAGTCACGATATGAGATATTAATCTACTTTCCCTGCCTTCCTCTTCAGTCCCCCATGAAAGGTTCCAGTGTCCCTTCACCTACACATCTGTCAGTTAAGTGCAGTAGCCTGGGTCCCACATTAGTTTCCAAGGCAAAGTTACAAAGTGATAGAAGTGATGTTTGACTTAGATGGTGACTTCCCTTGTCCACTTTCAAAATATAAGGCAGTTTCACCCTCAGCAGAACAGACTGTGACATGCTTTGTAATGACACCAGCTTTTACCAGCATCTTCAGCAGGAAACCTGGAATCACTGAGTCTTTAAGTTCTCATTTTTGAGAACTTAATATGATCATAGAATCATTTAGCTTAGAAAAAGCATCAAGTCCAGCAATTAACCTAGCACTATCAAGGAATCTTGAATGTCAGATATTTTCCTACCTGTTATTTGAGCTTTTTGAGGTGTGGGCTCAGTTTTGCAGTCTGAACTGAAAAGTGAGAAGCTTCAGAGCATCAGAGTTCCACCTGAAGCAAAATGCTGCATTTTGGGGGGGAGAAAGGGCTTGTGTCCTGCAGTAACATGGGCAATATAACCCTTACAGTCAAAAAATGACAAAGAACTTAAAACATTCAAGTCATTTATTCTTTGAAAAAAGACATAATTTCAATTTTTAAAATGATGGATAAGACTAGAAGGCATGAAAGTATTGTGCTAACTCATTTTCTCTTTAAAATCTGTAGGTTCCTTTCAGCTGAAGCACCTGAAAGCCATGAATATAAACTATGTTCAAGCCAGACACGTGCAAATGGAGCCAACAGAAGACAAATTTGTACTTTATGTCACTGATGGGCTGCATCGCTCAGCAGAGACTCCATTTTTTGTGTTAATCAGCCCAACCAATGATGAAGTTCCAGAATTCATAGCCAGGAATATTACCGTAAGGAAATAAGCAAAATGCCTGTAATAGAACTATTTTAACCAGAAACCACTCTTTAATATAAATGAGAACATTGTCCTGATACCTGTTCCTCTGCATACTTCCTTTGTGTAGTTCAGCCAGCTTCAGGAAACAGGACAATGAAATCCCATGTAAACCTAAAAGACAGATCTTCAGTAGGATAAGAGCAGTGTGTAGCTCTTGGAAATTTGCTTTTAAGTAAAAAGAGATCAAAACTTCAAACAAATATGTGATCTAGAAAGCAGAGAGATCTTTAGTCTTCTTATGCATTCCTAAGAGCTTTCACATTTTTGATAGAATATTTTTTTAATATTTCTGGCATAGCTTCTCCCCTCTCTGTAGATTGTTTTTAACATAAATAACGTGACCAGAGTGTAATCTTACTCTTGCTGTAAAGTAAAAAGTGGATGTATAAATTTATATCTATCCACATTTTTAGATATTTTATATATTAAAAAGCTTTCTCCTTTGTGCATTTCTGAGCAAAAGAAATTTGGCATTGATTTGGCATTCACTTAATGCATTTTCTATTAATTTGGGCAAACATGCAACTTCTCTCTTCATCACTGTAACCACTTACTTCCTCTGTCTCTTAAACTGGTTGAAAGCAGTAGCTGGTTAAAAAGCTACTGGATAAGGGGTGGACGAATCAAGAGATACACTTGGACACAAAAATACTCATGAAACATGCTAGAATTCTATTATTTCTTTTTATGTAAAAGAATTGGATGTTTTTTCTTTCACTTTCAGGTTCAAGAAGGGGAGATGAAAGAGCTGGATCTGTCTGTTATCAGTGCAGTTGATCTGGATGTGCCTCAAGACCCTCTGGTATTTGGGGTTGTGCAGAGGCCCTCGTACGGGTTCCTTATTAATGGTGTTCATGGCAGTGATGTTCTACACTATAAAGAGTTAATTAACCATGATCATCACAGCCATGGGTTGCTTGTTCATCACTTTTCCATGGAGCTACTAAGGAATGGTAGGTGCAGCATTCTTACAATAGTCTTTCATTATTTTTCATTATATAAAGAAATCTTCATCATTTTTTATTCACTTGTCTTATGTTTATTTTCAAAACGATTTTTAGGAATGGAAGTTGTCCTATTTAATGCTATTCTTATCTATTGATTTTAGGAACTGTCTATAAAATCATCCTGAGAGACCTCTGTATCAAAAAGGGTAGTAATATCAGTAGGAAAATCATCTGTCCTGAAAAGAAATAAAGGGAATAATGTGACATAATGCAACATCATCAAATAGATTTGTAAATGTTTTGCAGCACCTAGAATAGAGAGACAACAAGACTGATTTAAAAACACTTTATCTGATCATGGGGTTAAGTATTTCTTCAAATGATCACAAAATTGTAAGACATTTTAGGTTGCAAGGGACCTTTATGGATCAACTAGTCCACCTCCCCTGTCACGGGCAGGCACAACTTGCACTGGACCAAGTTGCCTAAAGTTGCATTCAGCCTGACCCTGAATGCTTGCAGTGTTCCACAACCACTCTGGACAAACTGCTCCAGTGTCTCACCACTCTCACTGTAAAACATTTTGTCCTTACGTCCAACCTAAACCTACTCCTGCTCGTTGTAATGTCACTACAGGCATTGGTAAAAATCTTTATCTCTCCTCTAAACCTTCTTTAGACATTGAAAGGCTGCATTATACCATATGTCTAGCAATAAACATGCAAATTGGGACTCACAGTTTAGCATGAGCAGTGAGCCTGCTTTAAAGCAGCAAATCTGTTTCCAGTATACGTAATGAAAAAGTGTATTTAACAGTGTATTTAACAGTGCAAGGAATATGGTGGATCCCTCCTGACTGTGGCTATTTAGTAAAACATGGAATCTTGTAGTATAAAGAGGAACATAAATTCAATACTGCCACTCAAATTTCAGTTCAGCCCTTAAAAATCTGAGGAAAGACTTTTTTGTCTCTCTGCCTGTCTAATATGAACCTCCAGAAATATCAGGGGTCCACCCCAAATTCTTCTGCTTTCCCAAGTCTTGGTTTTGAATTTCTTTTTTGGCTTTTTCCTGTTATCCACAATGGTGAATGAGCCATCTTTGGCCTAGAACTTCTGATTGTCCATGGTCATAGATACAAGACCAGCAATCCTTCCAAAGGCTTCTTCAAAGTTCCCTGAGGATTATTTAAAGCAGAGGAAAGTATTGCCTGACAGTTTCATCCTCTCTATGGTTCCCATGAAAGTGATTTGGAATAAGGAGAGGAGAAGAAATGTATGCTTTTCAGATTGACAGAGATTCCTTTTTTAGAGAGTCACTCCTTACTTGGGTCAGGCTAGTGACTTGAGTCAATAGTATGCTGCTTTATCACTGATCAGCAGAGGCTCATCAAACTCATCTTCTGATATCTATGGTAAGTTTATTGTTACCCTAACATACAGGGAGGGGAGATGGAGGAAAGGCGATTGAAGCAGAGTGAAATGATGAGAGGGATTTTGCTGGAGTCAGAATAAGTTGTTCTTTCCATTTCTCTTACCCATTCTTCCTCCCTTTCTGTCTTATTTTTTCCCCTCTTCCTGCCTCACATAGGAATGAAGCTGATGTACATGCATGACAACTCTGAAAATCTCACTGACAGCTTTAAAATTCAGCTATCAGATGGAAAACATAAAGTCCTCAGAACCATTTCAGTAAAGGTCATTCCAGTTAATGATGAGAAACCAGTGCTGAGCAAGTAAGTCACATGTTCCTGTTCCTGACAGTGGGATGTGTTTAGACAAAGTGATGGAAAAAAGAACAAAACACCAAATCATAGAATCATACCATTGTTAAAGTTGGAAAAGGCCTTTAAGATAATCAAATCCAACCATCAGTCTAGCATCCCACTATGTTTACCATTAAACCATGTCTTTGGTGTCTAATGCAAAGAGGAAGGCATAACAAGCAACAGACTACTGTCAGTTAAATGTTTCTATATAGGAATCTTTCTTTCAGCCTGTGCGGCAAAAAAATTTTTACTGGAAGAAGAGCTTTAGTGCTGCTTAGTGTTGCTCTACATTAAGCAAATAGACAAAAAATAAAAGTGTGTGGGGAAAAATTTTTGTTATTTCTTTCATAAGCTGCTTCAAGGTGTTTGCCAGCTGCTGTACCTCGGCTGAACGCTGACCACCATGGTACTGCTTTTCTCTTCCTTAAGACAAAGACCTGCCTAAAACACCTCTCTGAAAGCAACTCTGGATTTTGGAATGAGAGGATCCACAAGGCTGAAGCAGGGGAAGGGCTTTCCGATTATAATACTCTTTTATATTCTAACACACTTTTCTCTGCCATAATTCAACTGCTGAAAAAGTACACACTTAACTTCCCTTGCACTTCAAAGCTAGGAATCATAAATGAATTAGACATGATCAGAAATTGCCTGGCAGACCATTTATAGATAGGCAGCTGGCTGCAAGAGAGCCAAACCTCCTGGGCATTTTAAAAAGGACCTCATCCCTTGGGATCTCCAACTGATGACTTGTCACAGAGCATCAGGACCTCCACACTTGTGATTGTTTTCCAGCCCCAGACCGACAAACAGGAAGCTAAGAGTCCAAAGGTTTTGTGGGTATAGCTCTGAACCTCTAAAGTTTGCACTTCAGATTCACAACCCATTAAGCAGACTGCCACTACGGAGAGAATTTCTGATCCATGAGGGTATTTGGCCCACTTTCAGATCAGAGCTATTATTATTTTTTTACCAGGTAGAGCTTCCTGCAATAACAAATGTCAGTTTCTTAGTTAAAAGGTTTTTAAAGACTACATAATGCTAACATGAGAGAATGTCAATTTTCAATTAGAATAAACAGTATAATTGATGTATGCACATATCATATACAGATAATTACTGATAATTGCCTATTTGTTCCTCACATGCTTTAGCTTGATCTGCCATTTTCCACCCCATCTCTGTGACAGAGGATGATGAAGTGCAAGAAGTCAAGTGCTTTTAGCTTTGACAGCTAGATCCAGAAACTGTTGCTTCTTTGTCTGGCAATATTAGGTCTCACCACTTGCCATTCCTGTGGTGGACAATTTCATAGATTTTCAGAGACATTTACTCCCAAAATAGCTATTCCTTTATAAGAAATTACTGCCTCTTGCCTGCTACCCACCCCCACCCCCCCGCCCCCCACTTAGATGAGATGTGCTGCCAGTATTTAAGCAGTAGTGCTTTAAGAAAATGTTCAGTTTGGCAATGAGGTGATTTAGCTGCCACATTCAGTCACTACATCTTCACTGTAGAGTACAGAGCTCCTTATGTTAGTGCAGTTTTACAGCTGAATATTGGGCAGTACTTGAAAGCTTTTCTTAACCTTTTGATCTTGGGGCACTTTCCACCCCAGGGATTTTTGGCTCTCATCTCCATTAGTTATGGTCAACAGACTGAAGAACCTGTGATGGGATGTTTTTGGCTGGCAAACAGTGCCTGTTTTTCAGAGTGATTGCCAAAACCTCAATCTGTCACCCCTTGGACTGCATCCTGTGGCAGAGAGTGCCCTTGGGGAATGTAAAGCCTTCATGCATTTCTCTTGAGAGCTTCTTCCCAAAATGAGATGTGGGTGCTAGAAGGAACATAGAGAAGAAGCCAGTTAGATATGGTTGTGTCTCCTACAGATAAAGGTGAGCCTTGAAGACTAGTTGCTTGAAAGACAGTCATTTCCTAAATAAACAATCAGTTCTTTAGAGGCAGTACTGCTGTGCTCTGTATTAGCAGTAATAATGCAATCTGCTGGTTTACATTGTCTTTTTCCTATAGATTGTAGGAAGGTAAGCAGAATAGGGTACAGAGGAATAAGAGAGATGTGTTAAATCAGTTTGTTTTAGGTATCTTTGTTGTTTCTTACCAATGTAAGGAGAAACTTGTCTGCACTGCTTGCTTTTTTTACTCTGAAATAGGCACCCTTCTTCTATTCTCTCTGAAATTGTAGTTTCTGTCAGCATTTGCTTAATCCATATTTCTGGCAGAGAAATTACATATTGAAAAGGTTCCCTTATTGCATCAATACATGACTTTTAATTTTTTCAGGAAGAACCATATAGAGGTGAACATAGGTGAAACTCATGTAATTTCTAGTGCTGTTCTGTCAGCAGAAGATAAAGATACCCCCAGGGAGAGAATTTACTACTTGTTTGAAAGACTTCCAGAAAATGGTCAGCTTCAGCTCAAGGTTAGTCATTGTATTTCAACAAAAAACAGGCATGCAAAGAACTCTCTCTTTGTAGGGCAAAATGAAGTTAATTTTCCTTTTCTCCCAAATGCCTGTCATATTTTGAAGTAGTCAGCTTGGCCAGTTTAATTGTTAAAGGAGCAACAACAATGATGCTGTCCCAGAGGCTTTGGCACTAAAACCCAGATCCTGAACAGGAGAAGATGGAAGGTAAAAAACATGGCAGATCTCTGAGGTGAAAATTGAGAGATAATCTGGGATAATAATCCCACAAAGGGGGAAAATAAAGCTGGGGGGAAGGGGAAAGTCCTTGGTTAAAAAAACCCCACTTTTACTTCATTTACTAAAGGGTTCAGAAAGCATGGAAGGTGTTGCATGTTAAAGAGTGAGTAATACCTCATCAACCATAAGAAAAGCATAGGGGGAAAGAAGGGAAAAGGAAGATGATAGAAAGGATGTGTCACAAAATCACAAAAATAAAGATTAGAAATGGAAGGCAGGATGATAATCTGTTGACCTAAAATAAGGCAAAGGAAGAAAGATAGGGAAAAAAAGCCTCTTTTAAATAACATGCACCTGTGATAGAAATAAAATTCTGTTTCCAAAACTTGTGAACTTGGAAAGCATTTTGATACTGGATCTCCGCATCAATCCATGGATCACATGAGACTTGTGAATTAAGTCTGAAGGAAGAGACAGCTGCTGATGGGAGTTTTGTCAGTTTGAACACACACATATATATATATAAAAATATATATCTTAGCTCTCTGTCCTCGATAACCTTGATCTAAATCTAGTGATGCTCTTACTGCCAGCAAATGTCAGCTCCATGGATCAGTTCAATTTAGGGTACTAGGCTATCTTCAGAAAGGAAAGAAATTTTGTGTAAGTCAGAGGTTTTTTTGTTTTGGTTTGGTTTGGTTTTCTTTTTTTTTTTTTTGTTTTTGTTTTTTTGGGGGGTTTTTTTGTTGTTTGGGTTTTTGTTGGGTTTTTTTTGTTTGTTTGTTTGGTTGGTTTTTTTGGGTTTTTCTTTTTGCAGCAGAGGACCTCTGGGGCTTAAAATTTCCATGCTTCCCTGAAGCTTTTTCTGATACTGTTTTAGCTATGATTTCAGATAGAACCAAGAGCAGATTTGTGAAACTAAGAAATAGAAAACATAAGCTGGGTCAGGAACTATTTAATTTTCATCTTGGTGTCTGACTGAGAAGTGTGCAGAAAATGATTCCCTAGAGTAAAAATGGCTAAACTCCATATTACTCTAGTTTATTAATGATCATTGTATCTTCTCCAGCCTTATATCCGCTGGAAAATAACTCCAATTATTTGCTGCCCTTCAAAACATACTATGAGGAAAGAGCCTACAGAAAGAAAGCCTGGTAGCTGCCACTAACAGTCTATATAACTATGAAAAGCCACAATTAACTGAGAAGGACGTGTGGGGTGATTATCAGCTCATGAAGGATGCTTGTGCTTTCTAGGAAGGACAAGAGTGGGTTACTCTCCTAACTGGAATGAAGTGTACTCAGGAAGAGCTGGATATGAACCTTGTGAGATATGTCCACACAGGAAGTGTGGGGTCCAGGAAAAAAGACAGCTTCACATTTTACCTCTGGGATGGGTACAACAGATCCCCAGCTGTGGACTTCTACATAAATATCAAGGACTTGGAAAAGGGTAAAGATCTACTAAACCTGATGTCTTACAGTGCCTGTTTCTGAAACCAAGATATCTGAGTACGTGTCCTGATCCTTTCCTTAGCTCTATGTAGGCCCTGACAAGTGTCCCTGAATATCCTGTAAATTTAGCTGCTTGTATTGCACTCTTGGCCAGGTCCTGACATGTGAAAAGGCTCTGCTGAATGCAATGTGTTTCACCTTGCCTCCTAGGACTCCCAGCTGCTCTGCAAATAGAGCTAAACATATCTTTCTGAAAGTAGCTTTATGTCTGAGTAAATCAGCACAGAAAAATTACAAGAATATAAAAAGGTAGGTGAAAGACTGTTCAGAGACAGCTCTTCCAGGCTATTCTACAGTCTTAGGTCTCTCTTTTTTTATTACCTCTCTAAACATAAAAGATTACCTCACACTGCTAACATTGGAGGACATGTCAAAAGAGGCTGTGGTCTCTTCATTCTTGGCCCCAAAAGGGTAATAGTTTTCAGGTTCCAACAGGATAAAGCCCCAAGCAATGTGGCTATGGCTGACCCTGCTTTGAGCAGAAGGTCAGAATAAAGATATCCTAAAGTCCCTTCCATGCTGAATTTCTCTATAATCTTAAAGCCTTATAGTTTTTCTACCACTGATGGTTTTCCTGTGCAATGCAGCAGAAATCATCCAATTCAATATGACTATTTTAGTGTTTTGTCTGTTCTGCAGGAGACATTGCTGTTTTTACAAACCTTCTTAGAGTGCCAAAAGGAGATCGCAGCTACATTACAACTGATGTCCTCCTTGCATTGGATGGTTCTGACAAGCCAGAGGAGCTCCTTTATGTGATAACCTCCCCACCCCAGTATGGACAAATAGAGTATGTCAGCTATCCTGGCATCTCCATTACAAGCTTCAGTCAAATGGATGTAGCACGACAGATTGTCTGCTACGTTCACAAAACCAAGGCAGTTGTTCATGAAGATACATTCAGGTAAGGCATAGTACCCCATCCCCTAAGCTCTTCCTCTTGAATTTTCGAGGTATTTAAAAAACCCCCCCACCAAAACCCCAAAAAAAAAAAAAAAAAAAAAAAAAAAAAAAAAAAAAAACCAAACAAAAAAACCCAAAAAACAAAAACAAAAACAAAACAACAACAACAACAAAAAAAAAAACAAACAAGCAAAAAACCCACCCAAAAATCCCAAAAGAATTTGTTAAAAGAGCTGGAGGCTCTGTGTGAATTCCCAATGGTTATATAGTGCATCTATTTCTACTGCAATAAATATAGTTGGGAATGCTTTGGTAATAAATGCATTTTCTCATTGAGTCTGAAAACATAATCAGAGACAGATTTACTCAATACAAGCTTCAACATTATTATAGAACCCAGACATACACAGCTGTTAAGATTTAAGTGAGAGAGAAGGACTGAGAACATACTTGGTGGAATTTTCCTTTGGTTTCTTGCTACAACTGGATGTGGTAAAGCTGGTCCATTCAGGTATTAAATAACAGCTTTCTTATCTGTTATAATTTATCATATTAATCTGATTATTCAAATCCCTAAGTATTCTGGAATATAATGAAAACCAGCCCACTTGATCTATTTAGACACTAACATTGACACGGTATTTTGACACACTCGGAAATTCATGTAGACACTTGATATTTTGGGGTAAATCCATAGGTTTGCCTACAGGCCCAGTTCAGCTGACTAATGATAATTGTTTTCACCTGTTTATGAAATTTTCCACTTAGAACAGTTTATACTAAGTGCATTCATTTTGTACTTAAATGAACCTTCCTTGGTTATAAAGTAGAATGATGCAACAAATTATCATCAGATAAAGAGCAGATGTACTAGGGACAGTACATCTGCTGTCCTGCAGTACTAGGTCAAAATCAGGGAAAAGAAAAAGATCAAAAATAAAGAAATGTTTCTAAAAGAAGAATGCTTACTCTTTGCTAATATTGGTAATTTTCTCTGAAAACAGCTTTTGACAGAAGATAGACCTACTGTAAAATTCAAAATTAAGAGCTTATTATTTTTCATTATGACTAAAAAAATTAAAGCGTTGGCTCCTAAGAGCTTCAATTCAGAAAAGACCCCTTTTTACACTCTCCTAGAATAGACTTCTAATCTGAATGGCTTTTTCTGTGAGGCATGATGAAGTTCAAGAACATGTTGCATCATCCAGTTTGTGAACTTTCCTTTTTGCAGGCAAGTCAAGCAAGTGGGGCAAGGAGACATTAAATAAATTTCCCTATAATACTGGATCAGTTAGCATTGTTGAGAGTTAACTCAAAAGTAGTTCTGAAGCTTTCCTCAGATGAAATATTTTTAACCATCCCTTCCACTGCATTCAGTGTGGTGGAAATTCTAGTTAGGAGATTTGTCTGATTCATTTATACTCACTACAGAAAAAGTGAGCAAATATTCCCTAGTTTTATGTTTTTTAATTGTGTAACACGTTCACCAAAACTACAATTAGATTATTTAAGTAATGTTGCAGTTGTGCAAGCCCTAGTTTGGGCAGTGTAATATAGTGGCTTGTGTCAGTATGACTCCCATATCACACTATCAAAAGTAGATCAAACAATTCTAGGCAAATTGCAAATGTGGATAAACCCAATGTTTTCTGTTTAGGTCAATGGCTAAGAACCAAACAAGAAAGTCAGTTTTATTAAAGTGAGGTTATGATGGTTTAATAAATACTGATATTTGATAACTATTTTAATCCCAATAATTAAATTCCTTGATGTTATAATTTGGAAAATAATTTGGTTTTGTGTAGACAGATAAATATTCTAGAAGAACAGTATTATTATTTCAACAAGGAATTAATTATATGGGTAATTTTGGGAGGAGAAGGAATTAACTGACCAGATTTTTATTTCACACCAAAGTACTTCCTTCAGACATAAATTTACCTGTATTGTTTGGTGCTGTTGGCCTGGAAGAAAGATTTGGCAGTGCTTGTTTGGACAGATGACTTCAAGTGATTAGCAACCTGACATCAGATGCTGGCAGCAGAATGCTAAAAGAACATGCTAATGTCCTCCATTTTGACATGCTGGCTCGATTTTGTAATGAGTTGGCACTATTTATGATTCCATTTTTATCTTTTAAATGCCATGACAGATGGTAGGTCCTGTAGCCAACTCCATTGCCATCAAATGGCAGAAAGCATGAAATGTTGGTAGTTGTGAAATCAAACCATGCAACATGTCCTCCAAACTTTGCCTGGGAATTGTATCCTAAATTTTATCAGAGTGAGAATACTGGCTGCTCTCCATTCCTGAGGAAATTACAAAGCAGACATAAACTAGAAATAAACAAAAATCAAAATCACCCAAAGTGCAGAAGGACATCTTTGACACAGTCAGTTTCATCACCTGTGAAACTGAGCAGTGAATGAAATTCATGGTAAATTTCAGTCTGACGTATCCATGCAGGAGCTTGGTTCCTACCTGGCATTCTGGAGAAGGCTGGATGAATATTCAAATTAATGAACTGAATTATCTAAGTCTTTCACTAAATATTGTTCAAGACATCATCCAAATATTTTGACACCATTGAAAGAATGACAGAAAATTCACTTCTCATGCAATACTCCAGGTGTTTTGAGAGAAAGTCAAGGTCTTAAATGGAGGTGCTTTACCTTTTTTCCTCCTAACACAGTATTTATCATCATTATTCTAGTTCTGTATTTGATTTCAGATAGTTTACAAATAGCACAACCCTTTTACCATTGGCACAATAGCATTAGGTCAGTGTAGGCAGATGTCTCTAGGTTCCCAGCTGGGAATACCATCCTCAGTAAACATATTTCAAACTGCTACATAGTCCCTGGTCTGCCTGTGCTCATTCCCATCTGTTTCATGGCACAGTGCCAGTCTACAAGTGATCAAGCTCTAATCATCCAGTGTTGGTGAAGGCAATGAGGAGTGTTAGATGGACAGTCTGTGTGACACAGTGAGATGCTCCATGACCTACTGAAAGTCACTCACATTCAAGTCATGCAGCAATACACTAGGTGTTGACCCTGTAATTTTAAAAGTTCATCTTCAAGGTCTCCAGTCAAGAGACCAAGGGGAACAGATAACCCAGTAAATGTCAGCCACTCCCCATTTCACTTAAGTATGGTAGAAGAGTGTTACATGGAAAGCAGCCAGCTAGGCTGGCCCTCATACTGTCTGAAACAACTGTCCTACTCTAGTAGAGACAAATTTCTTTGCACACTAGGCTCTGCTCTGACTCAAGCAGAACAAACCTGTGTGAAAACTACCTTACAAAACGTTTCTGCATGTACTGTGTGGCATAATCACTGAAATTTATGTAGAAAGACTGTTAACTCATACATGCTATAAGTTGATGGGACATGAAGGATCATGAAACATTTTAAGAGCAATTTTTATTTTCATATACCCTCAAAAGTTTTTGTTACAGGCATGAAAATGTTCCATGTAATTATTTTCAGAAGAAAATACATAAATAATGATCTTGCCCATGAAATCAAAGATGAATTTTAAAGGCTAAAAGAAAGGTTTTCTCCTTATTTTTTCTCCACACCTAAATTTAATAATACATTTCTGCAGACCATGCTGTCACTTGTATGGCAAAAGCCCATACCCAGCTGGTAGGCTTCTGTCATGGTTTAACTGCAGCTGGCAACTAAGCACCAGGCAGCTGCTTGCTCCCTCCCCACCTGGTAAGACTGGGGAGAGAACTGAAAAGGTGAAAGTGAAAAAACTCATGGGTTGAGATACAGACAGTTTAATAGGTAAATTGAAAGCTGTGCACACAAGCAAAGCAAAACAGAGAATTCATTCACTGTTTCCTGTGGGCAGGCAGGTGTTCAGCTATCCCCAGGAAAGCAGAGTTCCACCATGCACAGCAGTGACTTGGGAAGACAAATGTCACCACTCCAAACGTCTCCTCCTCCCTCCTTCTTCTTCTTGCAGCTCTATACACTGAGCATGCCACCAGATGGTCTGGGATATCCTTTGGGTCAGCTGGGGTCAGCTGTCCTGGCTGTGCCCCCTCCCAACTCCTTATGCACAACCAGCCTAATCACAGCCTAATCACCCAGCCTCTCACACTGCAGAGTGAGGGGCAGAAAAAGCACTGATGCTGTATAAGCACTGCTCAACAGTAACCAAATCATCGTTATATTATCAACACTATTTAGCTATGTTTAGCACAAATCAAAGCCACAGCTCCATACAAGTCATTATGAAGAAAACTAACTCTACCTCAGTCAAAAATCCAGCAGAGCTTCCAACAGATTTTCCTCTACAGCCTTGGGTACATTTCTCTTAGTTTTGAAAGGAAAACTATCGGTAGTGAATAATAAAATCTTTAGTGTATCTAAAGAAACATCACTACTTGAGAGAGAACTACAAGAAACTATGCAGCTATTGATAGAAATTCCCAACATGGAAGAAGAACTGTCCAGATATGACCATTTATCTACCATATTGAATTTATGCTATGGATATCTATGTTATTAATATTATCCTATCAATTTGTACAGTTCTGCCCAATAGCATAACATTTCAGTGAAACTTTACTTACTTTTGTAAAGAAACATAAATCATATTCCGCTGAATAGATGAAAATTTAAAGCTACAGTTAGTGCCTAAAGAAACCCATGAAGTGAGATAAGGCTGAATCTTTCTTCAGTTTGGTTTTTCAGGTAGTTTTGGGGGCATTGGGTAGAAAAGATTTTAGCAGTGAACAGAAAGAAATCCAAACTAAACCAACCAGGCAGGTCATGCAATTCATATACCTCTTTCTGTAAGCTGTAGGTGCTACTGCCAGGTAACCAAATGAAGATAAATTTTAAGGATGTGTAAAATATGTACACCAGAAGCCACAATAAGGCCCCCAGGCAGCCTTTCCTTTTAGATCTGTTCCATCTGTGTCTCAGCTAGAAGCTGAGATCAGCTCCGTTATGACTGTTGATCTTTAAGGCCTCTAGCATCAGCTCAATCCCTGCCAGTGCATTGTAACTCCTGTCACATACCTGGCTGTCTGCTTTCATGTTTTCAAGTTTAAATTTGACACCCACTCCACTCAGTGTCTGGGTTTGTGCTCCACCCAGCTCTTCTACTTTTGCAGTATCAACACAGGCAAGTCCTGTAGTAAAGGTCTGCATTATCATTTCATTTCAGTACATGGTGAATCAAGAACAGATGCTGAAGACTGCCTTGCCTCTCTTTGCCAGATTCATCATCAGCAATGGACTGAGGACTAAGCATGGGATATTCAAGATTGCCTTGGAGGCAGCTGACCAGGCTTTGCCCACTCTATCTAGGAACATGGGGTTAAGATTAACTGAAGGAGCTATGGCACTTCTTACTCCTGATGTACTGCAGCTTTCAGACCCAGATACTGCGAAAGAAAACCTTACCTTCCTTTTGGCTCAACTCCCCCAATATGGTCATCTCTATTACAATGGGGCTGTGCTACTGCAGTACAATTTCACACAGCAAGATGTGGACAACAGGGATGTTGCATACAAGCACCAAGGTGGGAATTCCCAAACTGACAGATTTACATTTGTTGCCTCAGATAGGACTAACCAAGGCTTCATCGTGAATGGGAGTGTGCAGAGTGAGCCAGTGACATTCACCATTCAGGCAAGTGTGACTACAGACCTACTTAAGAGAGATAAATAGTATGATAAGGTAAAAAAATATAGCAGTTTTGATGCCAGGTGGTACTTGCTGCAGTCTCTGATCTAACTGTGTAGCTAGTAAGTTTGCTTTCTGTGTTCCATGAATAATTAACCTGGGGAACTAACTACTTACTAAAATGCATAAAGATAAGCAAGTAAATACTTATATACTTAATAATCGCATGCAAAAAATTTTACATAGGAACCCCAACTACGGGAAGGATAGAACTTTTCTCCTGCTCTGCTTTCCTACTTGGTGCCTGACCCTGTGATTTTCACATATGGGGGTGTGAGTATGACTGCTGATCTTCATGTCACAGGAATCTTGAATTACAGCCACTTTGCTTCTCCACCTAGACATCCTGTCCTCTCTGAGAGTCTGTGTAAGATGCCTGCTCTGATTCTTCTATCTTTGCTAGAATCTTTTTGTTCATTTCCCATTTCCCCTGTTTTCAAGTCCTTCATACATTGCCATAGCCTCGGATTTGTTTGCTATGATTTTTGGTATCTATCTGGCATGGTTCAGTACACAAAGTATGTCTGGTCGCACTGCATGTCAAAATTCTCTGTTTGAAAACCCTGATACTAATGAAGAGGCGGTTAATATTTCCTGATGGCAAAGTATCAAGTTACACAACGATTGAGTAATACTACTTCACCAGAGGGGGAGATATGGGAACAGCAACGACTGTTGTGGACTGCTAGAAGGTTCACCAAAATTTGTGAAAGATGGCATTGTTATTATAAAAAAGAGGTGACAAACCTTTGCTGCAGTTATCTTTTGCTGTGAAGAAAATTACATAAAAAATGAGGACTATGGGGAATGAGGGACATCAGGGCAGAGATAAAACATTTGTGTTACACTCCCCAGAGTGTACATGTCCCTGCTACATGTGGCAAGTGATGGGTAATCTGGGCCTGGAAACTTCATGTGAAGTGCAACTTAACTAGAACTCAGGGGTCTGCAGCTGACTATGAGCCAGAGTGGCTATTGCCACCCTGATCTGGCTACTGCTCTTTCAACAAAAGCAGGACAGAGAATATTCTGATGTTATAAAATGAATATCTAACTTTGATTTAGGTGGATCATTTGGACAAAATGGCACCAAAAATTATTCATCTCCATTGTTTTTCTGATGTGGAACTGCTGAAGAATGGCAATTATGGGATCTATATTACTGCCAGGTCCCTGAGGGCTTATGACCCCAATACAGAAGATGACAAAATAATTTTTAAGATTTTGAGAGGTCCTCATTATGGCTACCTGGAAAATATAACAACAGGTGATTTCTTTTATAATCTCTATTGTGGGCCATACCAGACCAGATTTCTAACCCTATCCTGTTAATGTTTGCCTGATAGACAGAATCAAAATTTCTTAGCAACCTTTGAGCAAAGTTTGATTGTAATAACAAAACTTTTGCAATGAAACCTGAGTCTTAAGTCTGTTATGAATCCTCAAAGAGTTTGAAATAATTTTTAATAGCTGTTGTTGAGAAACTTTTTTATTTCTATCAAGAAATAAAAGATTAATATTGAACTTGGCCTCTTGATAAACAGGTTACACATAAAGAAATTGGCAGGGGTTTATAATGAAGACATGTTGCTGCTTAGCTATAAACTTGCATTTCTCCAAGTTCAGATTCTCAACAAAAAGAAAAGTTGAAAAGAGTTTATATGACCTACATGGTTCTTATTAGCAGGCTTTTGGTTCACCTGCATGTAACTTGTCTTTCCTAGGTGGATTCATTCAGGAAAGATTTAGCCAAAAGGATTTAAACAGCAAAATCATACTTTATGTCATCAACAAATCGCGAGAAGTAAATTCAGACAGCTTGGAGTTTCGAGTGACAGATGCCAGTGGAAACTCTGCGGCACCCCAAAGGTAGCGCCGCTCCTTGGTGACATGGGCTGTGCTGCACTGTGCTTGTCTCCCCTCAGGGCAAATGGACACTTGTGGGCTTGAAGCCATGCAGACATGGGCCCAGCTACAACTCAGCCTGCCATTGCTGTTGTTGGAGTAGAGAAGGTTTTTTCCCCTCAAGAAGGTGAATCCTTCTTGAAGCCTTCTTGAAGCTCAACAAGGGTTGAGCTCCAGGTTAGACTGTGTCACAGCTGTCAAGGGCCTTCAGGGCTTCACTGGAAAACATAGTGCATTTTGTGGGGTTGGGCATTTGGAGATCTGAGATGCTGTGTGCTGAAGGGTGGGACTACTGCTTCATGAACATGGTCTTGCAGCTGCAGGTCTCTTGCCCTTAGCTGATGGCAGTGCATTTTTCACAAGCTTGAGATTACAGTGTAAGAGATGCTCTCAAATGACAAAGTTATTAGTTAAAAGAGTACTGAAAGAAGGTGGAGAGCACACAGCACCTTCTTTGTCATCCACTGCATGTGTGAGGCATACTATCCTATATCTCCTTGTGACATACCATAAGCTTCATGTAGAAAAATTAGAATATCATGCAAACTGGGCTTTGATGATAAAAGCCAGAAGTGTGAGTAGCTCTTTAGCAGATGCAAAGGTTCTTTTTATTCCTGAAAATAGGGCTGAGTGTTCAACCAACTTATTTAATCAGAGGGGAAAAAAACCACAACCAAATCAAACAAAAAAAAAAAAAACCACCCCAAAAACCAAAAAACAGACAAACAGAAAAACCCCAAAATCCCACCAAAAAAACCCCAGAAAAGATAATATGCTGTTTCTGGGCTAAACTGGCTACTCACAAACCAGGACTCATGGTGAAGAAAGAGAAGCAGAGAGCTGTACCCAAGGGCAGAGCACTTCTCTGCACACTGGAGAGAGAACAGGGACTGAGCTGAGCTGGAGGCAGCATTTAGGCAGTTATGTGCTGTGCCAAAAGATGTCCCCATACACAAACACATCTGAGCATGGACAGCCCAGCTGCTTGGTGCTGGCTTGCAGATGAAAAATCACCATTATGTGATGCCACTTCTCATGGGAAAATGCAACTCCTTGTAAATGAATGGCAATACTTAGCACAGTTTTAGGAGAAGAGCAAAAGATGAAAAATCACCATTATATGATGCCACTTCTCATCACATGGGATGAGAAGTGGCATCACATGGGAAAATGCAACTCCTTGTAAATGAATGGCAATACTTAGCACAGTTTTAGGAGAAGAGCAAAGAAAAAACTCTAGTCTTGCAGAAAATAGGTGTTTCACTGAAGTTATCTGCTATGAAAGTTATCTGCTAGACCAAAGGAGAATTTTAGTGAAAAAATAGCATTTTAATATTGGATTGAAAAGCTTGTGAGGTATTTTTTCAATTTAAAGTATTTATCATCTCATGATCACTGGTTCAAAATACACAATTTATTGTTCATGTCCCAGCTTTTATTTGAACACTGCTGGACTACATCTGGCACATCCATCTTCTTTAGCAAAAGTAAAGAAAATCAGCTTCTAAATGGGTTTCCCACAAAATTAACATGAGAGGATAGAGGAGAACAGGAGGAAACTTCCGCTAGTGATAGAGCTAGTCAGCTGTGAAAGGCCTAGAAGTTTGTTTTAGTAAAGTTCAAATTGTAAATAGCTCAGCTCATCCATCCTTCTCTGACTCTCACTATTCTTTATTACACCTTTAAAAAGGGAAAGATCTTTACTGGTGATCCCATGCAGCACACAGTCTTCTGAGGTTCAGATACTGCCCCACCCTCCATTAAAAATTCTAAAATTCAGTGTATAAGACACCTGGAATGAGACAAAGAAAAGGATGAAGAGTGAAGTGTGAAGAGTACTAAAGTAAGGGAAGGAGAGAAGGCCCTTGCACAGAGGCAGAAAAGTCCTAGAGCATACTCTGTGTGCTACAGGAGGAGAGATAGAGGATAGATGAAGGCAGATGGGTAGAAAGGAGGATATTGCTAAGAAAAGACTGAGGAGTGAGAGTGTAATAAAACTGCAAGGCTAAAGGGAACCAGGATAAACAGTGATATCTTGTCTTGGCCTATTGTTGTTATGGACAAAATGCTCTTAAAATTACTGCAGAATCCCTCTGGCTGTAAAACAGGCTCAAATGTGGCTTAGGGTACATCAGGGCTGGTCTGGAAGATTTATTACTGCCTCTTCCTAATCAGTTAAATCACACAAATATGTTGATTTGGAGACGGAGACTCAGTATGTGTATTGGCTAAATCAGCAGTCAGGAGAGAAGGCTCCTCACACAGCCCCTGAGCAGCAGGGGCTGGGGGTGGCTGGCCAGGTGGCTTTGCTCTAAACTCACATTCCTTTCTCTCCCACAGGCTGGAGCTACGGTGGTCTCAAATTGAAATGTTACAGACTGAATATGAGGTGTGTGAAAACACAGGAGTGATGTCTCTGAAAATCACCAGGGCAGGATACTTGGGGGAGTCTGCCTTTATAACTGTGAAGGTAAAGCCAAAAGCCAACCACCTAACTTAATTATAATAAGTGCAGCCTGTTATTTTATTCCTCAGATGCAAATATAATTCAATAATCATCAAAGAGGCCATATGATTTAATCCATACTTACTGGGACATTGTCCTTGCTACTACAGATGGCTGAAACACTTCTGACAAAATTTCTTGAGTTTTAAGTAGAAATGCTAATTAACCAAACCTGGAATGTTTTGGAGCAGTATTTCAGTTTTGAGGAAAAAACAGAGCAGGCAGTTTCCTTTGGCGCTGTGCTCAGAAGCTTGGTTTCCAGGATCTGCCACTTTAAAATCCAGGTTTTGGGCAATCTGGGGCCTTGGGGCTTTTGTTTTGCCTTCTCAGGCTGGAGGAGCCCAGGAAGTATAGGTACCACAACTGCCATGGCAGCCTTCCCCATTCACCTCCTACTGCCCACAGCTGAGGGCTGTAGGTATATACCTTCCCTGTACCCTCAATGACTGCCTCTGTGTTATGTCAAAACGACTAGACTGAAAGCTGCAGGCTGTAATTTTTTAAAACAGGTTTTGTGCAACTTGCCTTCACAAATTTTATCATTCTTCATAAAATGGAAATTTCAGAATTTTATCAGGTCCCCTTGCTAGAGAAATACCATTTCCCCCACCCCCCACCCCTCCAGCTTCTCATGATTACAGCACTAATAAGAAACATAATTTTGATTTTTCTTCTACAGAAATTAGTGCGAATTTTGCTAATGATGCCCTCAGGGGCCATCTTGTCCTACCCTTCACAGACTCTGTTGATTCTACTGCAGCAGTTACTTGCAGAAAGAGACCAGTGAACTTGATTCCAGCATCAGGAGCTGGAACACATACACTGTGTGGAAACTGGTGTCCTCTGGTGCCTCCTATGAAAATTCAGGGAGGTCCTGGAATCACTATATTTACATGTGTAGGGTTCACATCTATCCTAATGGGTATTTGGGAGTGACAGAAGGCTCTGTGTGAAAAAGCTTCTTTCAAGATATCACAAAGGGCCAAATAGGAAAATGTGGCCAAGTTGCTGCTGCTCCCTTTGAGACGACAGGATGTGCTTTTCCAGCAGCCAGGTATGACAGGGTCCCCAGGCATGGTGAACAGCAGTGTAACCTGGTGTTGTCAAATAGCAATCTCAGAGGTGAATGAGCAATATTATAAGATAGGGTTGTTTTTTGCTTTGTTTTTTTAAATGATACATTTTTTTAAGCCATGAGCAAGAACAGAATGACAGTTGCACAGAAGAAGGTTTATTCTTCAGGTCTTTATCATTTTTTCCACCCTGAGTATATGTATGGGTTGGCCTGTCTATTTGAGATGTGCAAAGAACCTTCAGCATGCAGCAGAATGCAGTGCTTTGGTGAAATGGGTCACAGCATAGTATCTACTGTTTGATTTCTTCTCAGGTCAATGAAATGTCTGCTAGGTTGGGAAAGGACTTCACAGTGACTCCCTCCAAGCTTGTTCAGTTTGATCCAGGTATGAAATAGTGCACTGAGTAACTCTAAAATTAATTCACTGATTTTGGAAGAGTAACCTCTTGCTTTGGAGAGTGCAATCTATTACATATCTGTAGCTAGAGAAGCTGAATAGTATTTAAGACTTGGGCTCATTTTATGGAAGTGCTGTAGGCTTCTTTAGTGAATTGGAATTATTATTATTTAGTGTAAGATTGCCTATGGTCTTTTACTTTGGTTAAAATATCAAAAGTGCTGAAATTATGTCTCCTAATCTCCTAACAACTAGTCTGGATAGGACTCACCCTCAGCTGATCTGTGGGATGCTTTAAAGACTTCAGTCATTATAGGTAAGGTCCAGGACACAGGTTAAATTTAGACAAAACTGAGAACAACTTAGGTTATTCAAGGTGTCCAAGCCTGTTTTTCATTCAAATACAATCCTGAAGCTACCCAGTAAAGACAAGGAAACAAGAAAAAACAATGGTAAAAGGTTGCACTTCAATCTAACATGATTTTTGATCCATTTGCAGGTATTTTAAATAACAGTTCCATCTTTAAAGTTAAACTTTTCAGATACAAACTCTATGATACATTTTCTCTTGAAAATTGCAGTGGAAGTCCTAAATCTATGTATTGCAGTGCAATTTAGCACATTTACAGCAGCTTTTTGTTACAGTGTATGCACTTCGACTGAATCATCATTGCCCAGGAACAAATTCAAACTTAATGTTATTTGGAAGACCAGCAGGAATCCAGTCAGTCAGTAGGAGCACAATAGCATACACAATCTACTCCACTCCAGCTGCAGACATGTTAATTAATCTATTTGTTTGACACCCTGATTGATTGAAATAGCACTTAAAGAGTAATTAAAATGTTTATTTCTGTTAGGAGTGTCAACCAAGATGTGGAATATAGCAATTACCTATGACGGATTAGAGGAAGATGATGAAGTCTTTGAAGTAGTTCTGAACTCCCCTGTGAATGCTGTTCTTGGCACACGGACAAAAGCTGTAGTGAAAATTTTGGACTCTAAAGGAGGTATCTCTTTTGATCTTTGTGACTAAGAAGGTGGGACAATCTTGGCTGAGTAGCTACCTATTTTCAGCCACGAGTTGCTCCTAACATTCACCATTAGATCAAACTGCCTAATTTATTTTTAGAGAAAACAGGCTTGACACTTGCAGGCCCTTTATTCTCTCACACAATCATATGCATCCTCTTAGGAAATACAGCATAAGAAAAACAACAAGCACAAAATGAGAAAAGTGCCAGGAAAGAAACCACTTTTCATAACAACATGAGTTCAGTTCACATTTATTAAAGTGGGAAAAACTGGTTTTAGATCCATTAGATGTTTTTCCCAGTTACTATTTAGTTACACATGCTTTAAAAGAGATTTACTTTCCTCTCAAAAAAGAAATGTAGCAAATTAACCCATCTCTCAGCAATATATTTTCCAATGCTTAAAAAGCACAGTCCACAACTTCACAGCAAATAGTTTAGTCTTTGAAGACTGCATTATCATTATGTTTTTCAGTGATCAAATGTGGAGTGTCTGAAATCAGATCAAAAAGAAGGCAACTCTAGAAACAGAAATATAGGAAAACAGTAGAAAACTAGAAATAACTAGTAAAGAAGCTGCAGCCTCTGACCACTGAAGAGTGTTTCTTCTTCTGGTGTTTGGTGAAACAATATTTAAAATATCCACATTGCAGTGAATTAGGCTTCATGTTACAAAAAGCCCCTTTAAAATTTCTGATTTGTTTTCTCCTAAATATTCCTAGTGTAAATCAGGACTTAACTGACACAGTGACTTCATTGAAACAACAGTATCCTAGATTTCAAAGAAGAAGTTTCTCGGGGGATGATGGAAGTATCATCAGTGGTAGTTAAAGAGATCTGTATATTCATGGCCAAAAAACTCAGCACTTCAAAGCCCAGTATAAAAATTAAAGCAGATGCTTGGTTGAAATTCTGACCTGTGGGTAGACAGGTGCATCACATATAAAATCTTACTTATAAAAATAGTAGCTGCAGTTATAGTCATAGATAACCCCAGAAACAAGGGTGACTGAACAAACAGCAAATCAACTACTTCAAGTGAAAGAATCATCCAGCTTTTAAGGACAAGCTGTTTATGTGCCCATGTCAACATGACCAGTTATTTGCTCATGCAGTTAGAGCTGACCATCTGCCATTTTTTATACTTTCAGGTCAATGCAGCTATTCCCGTTCTTCTGGCCAAAGCAAGCATGACTTCTGGGGAAGAGGCACGCTCTTTCCAGCTTCCTCGGGCTCCTCATCACCTTCCAGGCCTGGCAATGTTTCCTTGGAAGGGATCCCACTGCTTCCTTCCAAAGGGAAGAGGGAGCATGGAGGGGATCTGTGGCAGGAGCACAGCTTGGCAAATCGGTCAAAGACCAGGCTGAGAGCAACTGGAAATGGCAGAATAGTAAGACACTTCCGTAGTTCAGTGATGAACTGATTTGTGAATTTTTTGTGATGTGATATCTTCATTTAACTGTCACTTTTGTAGCAATTCTATCTGACCATACAATAACTATAAACTACATGAGTTTGCTTTGAGTCAGACCTGGGGACTATTTAAAAAAACTGTAAGGAAAAAGCCAAAACCAAACCAAACATTTTGAGGATCCCGGTAAGCAAGAGAGGAATAAAATAAAGACTTGGGGGAGGAAACAGGCATGAAGCAATTTCAGCAATTATGAAACTTCCAATCTTATAAAAATTATGGGTAAGTTAGAAGTTGGTGGAACCAGGCAAATGTACAGAAGCTGTGCATCTGGTACTGAAGATATAAAGCTGAAAATACTGTCAGTTTACATAGGGAATAGTTATTTAAACCTTGTCCACTGATTCTCCTGCTTAAGCTATTGATTTAGCTAGGTATTTAGTAACTTTCTGCTATTGTGACCTTAAAAGTTACTGGAATCTGGTTTTATGAACACTGAGCATTACGCTTGTAATTTGAGCTTTTTAATGGCTCCTTTCAGAAATTATATGTTTCTATACTAAAAGAGAAAGCATGAACCAAGACATGCTCTGCATGATGTATAACCTAGTAGTAAGTGTTACATAAATTCTTCTTGTTTCTATAATACATGAATATACCCATCTCATTATGCTGTTTTACATTTTTCAGGTTCATCCTTCATCTGTATTTAGAAATGAAACAGATGTGATTTTCAAAGTAAGAGTATTATGGATATTGGTTGGATATTTCCATGATCTCTTTCTGATTCTGCTCTTTCCAGGCTTTATCACTCCTAATAATTTGTTATGTCTAATACTTTATTTTTCTATCTTTCTTTTTAATTGGTGTAATTTCCCTTGATTTATGATAATTTGTATAATAATTAATTTTTATTATTTTAATTTAGTTTATTTAAGAGCTGCTTGTAACCCTCTCTTTTCTTCTCCCGTTCTTGTGTGATACTGTAAAATGAAGTATCACGGGATTGTTTCGCTCAAAATAGAGGATGACACCTCCTCAGCTGAAACCAACAAGAAGGCACAACCAGAGATAAATGTAATCTCCTCTAGGAAAACAGAAATCCCACTGGCTGATAAGGCAGAACTTGCAGCTGAACCAAGATCAAGACATAAGGTATGAGACATTTTCCATGGGCATTTTCACCATCTGTTTTCAGTTGTGTTGTTTTCCAAAATGATTTAACACCTAGAAGAGTTTTCATGGCATACAATTTTAATATAAGATCTAATCAATCTGTTTCATTTTACTTGTTTTGTGTAATTATTGTCCTCAAATGTTCAAATGACATTTTCTCTTTCCAGGACTATAACTCTTTTCAAAAGGCTTGTACACCAGATTTAAAGGGTCTCTTGCATTATGAAGAGAGCACACAGAAGTTATTTCAGTGTGATGGGATATCATGGACATTCTGGAATTCCCAAAGTAAGGTAAAAATGTAGCCATTTGTAGGTATCTATGTCAGAGCATGGAGTCTATGATTGGTGATGCCCTAAAGAAGAGGACCTACCTGCATCTGTTATTTACTTGAACAGGGCATAAATGTTATCCAGATTCAGGTTTGCTTTCAGCAGAAACAAAATTTTCCCAGGAATATGATGAAGACTTGACTCAAAGGCTGTGGTTGCCTTTTCTCTCTGTCATCCACAGGTGCTCCTGGATAAACCACATGAGCACTAGTGCTGTGGTGCTTGTGATGATGGGAGCATAACACAGTCAGTGAATGAAGTCTGTGGGAGAATACGTGGAATTTAGTAAAATAAACTTACTTAGGTATTCTGTAAACATACGTTCCCCCCACCACTTAAGATGTCATGCTGAATTTTGTTGCACTGCCTTCCCTGTACAGACTACAGGAGACAGAAAATGGTGTCCAAACTAATATAAAATCTTTAGAGGATTTTTATCTTTTAAGCAATGGTGTAGCTTTATTTATAGACACCAAAGTCCGTGGTTTAATTCTGGACACTACTGCACAGACTATCTGTGCGTAGACAGAAGTCTGTTTTACCTCTTCCTTTTCTATTTTAGGAGGTAACTATGAAGAGATGTCCCTCTGGATGGACTTATCATGAGAGCAGCTGCTACTTCCTGGTAGTGAATCATAAGGTCACCTGGAACACTGCTGCTCGGGCTTGCAGAGAACAGTAAGAGACCATCATCCATTTGCTGTGCACTGCTGTTGCCCTGAGCTGAATGCTGCTCTTGAGACCAAATTTATTTGGATAAGCCCAGCTTTCGCTGCTCTGCACAGCTCCCCCCAAAAATTGTACAAATCCTGGGATTCAAACACAGTGGATGATAGAAATATTAGTCTCATAATGCTTCAGGAGGTGATGCTATCTTAATCACAGCATGAATTCGCAAAGCTGTCCATCTGCAGTGAGGATACTTTCCTAATTTAGGGAGAGTTAGTTTGGGAGAAGAGAAACTCGGAGTCAGTAGAGACTCAGAATTTAATCCTGTCTTACCCACCACTTCCTTGGCACTACCTTCTCTTGATATAGCAATGGTAAAATATTGCCAGCTCCTGTGTGCCTCACTGTATTCTTCTGAAAATGTAGCTTTGAAGATTCTGTAACTATTTGAATACTTTATATTCAATTTAATAGTACCTTTCTGACTTTTTAAGGAAATACAACAGCAATAACAATAATGACAACCATAATAATAATTGTTGTCAGAAAGTAGGCGATAAAAAACCTGCCAGTCTTGTTTTCTGGATACATGCTTTGAGATTTTGGCTTTAGGGGTATTAGGTTAGCACTGGAAAGAATGCTAGCCATGGTATCTTGAAGCTTGTCCAAGGATAGGCATGCTCTGTACCTTGTCCTGAATTGTGAGCACCAGGTTGAAAATCAATCTGAAAACTAGGAAAGGCTTAAACAGACCTCTCCATCAGTCCAGACCTCTCCATTACTCCAAAGGAAAATTGAAAGAGGGAAGAGTGGGAAATGATAGAAACAGAGTATGTTCCATAAGTAATGGAAGGACATGCTGAACAGTGAATCATGGCCAAGCATGCATAACAAGCATTGATTCATTCCACTTAGTTATGCCAGAATATGTTGCCTTGGCAACAGGCAAAAGAAAAGTCTTGATACTACTACCTCCCAGCTGATGGAAGATATTCTTTACTAAAATGTAAATGTTATGTCCTCTTGTGAGCTGACCCTAAATATTGTGCTATTAATTGGTTCACTTACAATTTCAGCTCTTAAATTTTTTTGTTATTATCTACTTTTATTATGCTACTTGTTAACAAATAAAGCCATAAACTGTGAATATTTTCATATTTTTTTCTGAAGGCTTCAACAGTGAATTGATCTCTTGGAACCATATGTCACTATCCCGGGAGGTTTTTCCTATCTTCTAAAAGAGTGTGGTCTTTGTGACCCATATTTTTTGTAGGTGGTAGCTTCTTGATAGTGTGCAATGTAGACATCAAACGGAATAAAAGTAAATAAATGTAAACAACAGTAACTAAAGGACAGGGTTAAAAAAAGCTACACAGAAAATCAAGGCATATCACTGAATCCAAAAGGAAATGAATCCTAGGACAGTGCTAATTCAATTAATGTTATACTAGCATAGACTAAGGAAGATTTATCCCAGTAAATGAAGTACTCCTTGCCTCCATCTGGAACTGATTTACAAAAGTACAGCTCCAGGAACACGCTAAAATGTGGTAAAATAACATAACTTATTAAATTTTATTTTGTGCTTTTCCCCAGCTCCTCTGGCAATCATCACCACCACTAATTGTGGTGTTTCTCCTATTAATACTGATTCTATTGACATTTAAACGTTTCCAACAGGGAAATAAAACTACCATGGAGGTCAGTCCTCAATTTTCAATAGATCAAACAAACTGGATATTGAATGAAAATATTAGAATTTACTTTCAGTAAATCAGCCAACTTCCATAAAAAAAGAATAATTTTTTTACTACTACAAAAATGGCATAATTTTAAGCTCCTATTCATTTGTCTTGCTAGAATTTTTCTATTATGCAGAACAGAGAAAAAAGCCCAAGCATTGTTGAAGTTGATTCACTACCTACCCCTACCCTACCCTTTTTGAGACAATCTTATAATCTTGACATGATGGACTTGGGAACAGGCTATACAAAAAGTATACAGAAGTAGGCAGGCTGAAAAGCGTCTGGACAAGGGCCACAAAGTTGATCAAAGGACAGTAAAGCTTGCCATGTGAAGAAAGAAGGCATAGGTGAGCATCTATCACCATATTTTGATATTTAGAGGGTGGCTAAGAAGAGGATGGAGATTCCCTTTTTACAAGGAGTCACATAGAAAAGATGAACAGCTACAGGAACAAGTTATTCCTGGAAAGATTCCAAGTACACACAAGGGAAAGTTTTTTTCACAATGAGATCAGTTAGAAGACTCTCCCCAGGGAGACAGTAGATTCCCCAACATCACACACTTTTAAGGTTTAGCTAGACAGACAGTGCTGGCCCATCTTGTCTGGACTGTCCTTTTGCCCAGAAAAGTTGGAATCAGGTGATCCTTGCAGTTCCTTCCAACATGGTAGTCTATGATTCTATTCCATCACAGTAATGCTATCAATTTATTGTGCAAGCAGTTGTTGTTGGACATAAGTACATATGCATGGGCTAATGCAGGCCTATTTGAGTTTCTATTGATATACATTGTGTCCATCTTTTACAGGTGGTATACAACACTATTCTTTAGTTTCCATGTTTGGGGTAGAAGCAGACAGAAATATGTGCTTGTCTTGATGCAAGTTTCTATATATCATGGGGGAATGGGAAATCTCAGTTAATTGCTGTGAAAATCTTGTGCTGTTTCTAACCCTTCTCCAATTCATTGGAGAGAAAGGTGGTTTAAGAACTCATTTCTCTAGCTTTGTTTGTATGCATGAAGAGACTCTTGGCAACGGGAAGAGAAGCATCTGGGGGATATTATGGCTGAGTGATCCCACAGCAGTCTGATTTAGAAGCAATTTTGATGATTTATGCCACAGCTCTTGTTTATCCAATAGGAACATGTCCTGCCCAAGGGTCAGTACAGCAGGGCTCACTTGTGTGTGAGATTTTTTTCACTGCTGCCACTGAAGGGATGGAAGAACTGCATATATAGAACCCACAGTTATGTCTTTTGCCTTTTTAGTCATATTATGCCTTTGTCTTTTTTGAACACTTAATTAAAGCTCAAATATTATTAGATTTCACGTCCTTTATTGCTAGCTGGGTAAGGCAGGTCATGTTATTTTGTTTGATGGTATTATATCAGCTACATGTGGCCCTAGTCCTTTGGAATTACAGGCAGAACCATGTCTAAAGTAATAGATTAGATCCTTCATGATGGGTCAGTGTTCCTTAGTGCAAAGCAGGACAGCAGCCCCCTTCTAGTACTGATTCTCTAAGAGACTGGTTTAACTCATACTATTGTGTGTGACTCCAGCAGAGGGATCCAGGTACCTAGAGTAATTTTAAAGGCTTTGTGTATGCTGTCTGGCTTTCAACTGCCAGTCGGGAAGTGCAGGGCTCCTGCAAGCTCTGCATCATGTCTGCCACTCTCATCTGAATGTTCTGAATGATAGGGGGTGTTGTAAGCAACACTAGACACCAATTTCACGGCATCAGAATAACTCCCTAGGTGACCAAACAAAAGACTGAGATAAGCACAGTCTTTCAGTCACCCCCCACACCCTTCAACATCAGTATACAACACAGATTTACTACAGCAGTTCAAATAAAATGTTGTGTCCCATGGAGACCTTCATACTCAGTCAAGTGTGCTTTTACCAATGTTAAATTTACCAAAGTGGTACAAGACTTTTAAATGTATCAGACAATTTGATGTAAAATCAGTAAAGTCTTTGTGCTAAGTATTTTCCAAATAATATTTCAAGGTTAATAGCTACCCAAAATATTTCCCTAATTTGTGCAACTGGATAAAGTATGCTCTTGACTCAATAACAAAAATTATAAAGCACGCAGGAACAATTTTAAATGGATGGTTTAGCACAGAAAAAAGTGGTGTGTCGGGGTTTGTTGTGGCTTCTTTTGCTTGGTGTTTGTTTGTTTGTTTTTGGTTTTGTTTGGGTTCTTTCCCTAATAGGGCATTATAACCCCTTATCTTGACTAATTTACATTAGGAAGTGTTAGATGCACACTCCATAAATAACATTATCTTGTAAATTCCAGTGTCTGATCCTATGCCTCAAGATTCAGTGAGTAACATTATGGAAGTGCTATGTTCTTTCATTTCCCTAAAATATATAACCCCCCCTAAACAGGTACAACCATTGGAGCAGTTGTTCTCTCTTCAGTAATGTGCTTATGAAGCTGTACTTATAGAGAAAAGATTAGATTACATTATAGTTATTGTAGTGCTTTCCTTTCACAGTGATGAATCTCTCCTGGTACATGGATTGAAGTCTGAAACTGTTATTGCTCAGACTATGCCTGTATGTCATAAATGATGGAGCAGTTACTGACACATATTGAATGCTTTTTGGTGCATGATGCTTTATGCTCACCTAAAGTAAATCACTTAGGTCCTGGGTTTTGAGTGTCCTTAAGCAGAAGTCAGACAAAAAGCTCTATTTTTGTTCTGGTTCACCTAGTAGTGATACCACAGAAACTGCTGTGCAAACCTCTTCTCAGGTCCATTTTGTCAGTGCAACCACAATCACTGGGAGGCAGAATGGAATCCTGCTGCTGAACCACTTAGCCTGAATTAATTCAGGACACCCTGAATTAACTATGCCTGCTCTCCTGGACTCTGTCTGTAGAAGAAGATGGAGTATGAAAATTCCCAACAGTGTTTGTCAGTGTAACAGTTTTGTTCCTAGCTCACTGGAGATTCTGTGCCTGGCAGATTTGCCCAGAAGGGTGGAAGCCTGTCACCCTTGGGACACGTCTCACCCTGATGAGAGGCACAGCTGAAGATTGGCTGACTGCACCTTCACTGGGTGCACTTTTGGGGGACTCTGCCACAGTGGGTGCACAATCCTGACCCCAACTAGACAGTTCTGAGGCTGTTCTGCCAAACCTCTAGGTGAGGAGAGTGTACACAGGTGTCAGTGTGAACCTTCACATGCTGTTCTCTGGTGGCCCAGGAACTCAGAGTGCCCCTGATGGGCCTGCTGTTACTGCACGGTGCCTGCCCCAGGACAGCTGAGACTGCACAGGTAAGGGCTAACACCCAGCTGACCTGCTGACCTTGGCAGATCCACAGTGCAGCATGGAGCAGAGGCCAACTCCATCCCCCAGCTGCCTTGGTTGCCCTGCAGGGATAATGGAGGAGGACTTCGCAGCAGGAGCATCCCCCTCAGAAACACAATGAATTTATTTCATATCCTGGCCCTGTGGGCCCAGATTAAGGAATGGTCCAGATTTTGTGCAGTAGGGACTGTGCAGAATATTGTGTACTACTACTTTGTATTATTCTCATGTAAATTTTTCCTGCTTCCCTAATTTGTATGGAATCATATGGAATCCATGGGGTCAGTACTCTTAGAAGACATACAGGGCAATTATGGGAATGGAGCTCCAGGCATGGACCTCTAACTAGGCAGCATGCTTAATGGTGGGATTTCACTCTAACATCTGCTTATGGTCTCCATAGTGAGCTCAAGTCTGCCATGCCATTCTTCAGGCCTGGTTGCTGCCCCAGCTCTTAAAGAAGACAGTCATCACTTCATCTGGAGCAATAGTGATCTTCTGTCTCTGTTATCTGGCAAAAGTAATGGAAATCCTTACAATAGCATTTACTTATTATGATAGAAAAGTTTTTTTGCTCTCTTAAAATGTTTTTATGAACAGTGTTGTTTGCTCTAGCCCTATCAACTGTCACCCAGAATATTCTGGGAGGCTGAAGGGGTTGGCATCACTCTTAGACTGAGCAGCAGTCAGAAATATGGGACAAAAGGAATGCCAGCACCCGAGGTTCAGCACCAGCGGGATGGCAACACTAGGTGTGACATGTAAAAAAAGGTGATATATCAATGCAGACACAAAGAGGGATAAATAAAAAAGTGGAGCCGCTGATGGCTGACAGTTCCCAGCAAATGTGAAGAATGACATTTGTCTCTTAATACCTAAAGATTTAGCCTGATCTCTAAATGGCTTAAAAGTAGCCTGCTGGTGCTTGTAAGTTTGGTACTGATTGGAAGACTTGTTAGTGGCATGGCCACTCAGTGGTTAGGGTTTGCAAATCCTCCTTTGGAGCTGGCATACTACAAGTACAAATGCAGAGCAGAGCTTATGCATTGACTTAATTCAGAAATTCTGCTTAATACAAACCACAGCTTCTCTCCAATCTGAACAAAATGCGTAGTCACTGCAAACAATCCTCTGAAGAATGCGCTGCTTTTCAGACACCAAATTTCTTGTGATGAACAACTGGGGGAACCCATGAGATACCTGCATTTACTGAGTGCAGGTTCACAGGAGGATGGAGAACCAGAACATCTCAGCTGAAACTCAAAACTGAAAAGGATGAAAATGCAGAAAATAAAGGGTTGGGATAGAGGGAGAGGAAGGAAATGGAAGGGGTGAATGATATAACAACCCAAATGTTGATTTTAGAAGATGTGTGTGTAACTGTGACAGGGGAGATTTAGATTAGATAGCGTGAGAAGGTTCTTCATTCAGACGGTGGTGGTTGGGCACAGCCTCCCCAGGGTGGCAGTCACAGCACCAACCTGACAGAGTTCAAGTGTTGGGACAATGGTCTCAGGCTGATTTTGTGGTTCTTGGGGCTGTCATGTGCAGGGCAAATAGTTAGATTTTGATGGTCTTTGTCAGTCTCTTCCTACTCAGGACATTCTATGATTTTTGTGATTCTATGATTACTTCTTAGAACAATATTACCACTTAAATTTATTATTCAAAGCTTCAGTATTGTCAAAACACAGTTTTAAAAATATATCTCCTGCTCTACTATCAAATAGATGAAGTCATATCTTTCAGTGGTTTGGATGTAGGAAGTTGGTTTTCAGTGTAGGAAGTTAAGGTATCAATAAGTGTGCCCAGGTTAAAACACAGTTTGTGAGTATGAGGCACATATTTCCTGTGTGTGTTTCCTTCAGTTGCCAAGCTGATTTAATTTTTCTGTTAGAAAAACCAGACTAGGGCTTTGGTTCCTCCTCAGGTAATCCACAATTTTAAGACTTCATGTCATTATTCCTTCATGCCAGTAAGTTGTGGTTTTCCTGTGACTCATTATTTATATGCTTTATACTAGAATCAACACCCATTGTTGATAAGTTGATGGGAGCTGTCTGTCACTCTGTGGAATGCTAATTACTCTGCCCTCTCTCATTGAGCTTAGGTACCTGGGGAGTCTAACAAGTGTAGCTAATGAACAACACATGCAGTGGCTGTGGGACTTCAGTGGGAAGATGCCCTTTTGGATAGGTAAGTATATTGGCTGCAAGTCCCCTCTGCAGACTGCAGTTCCTGTACATGCTGAAAAGCAGAAAGTGCTGTAGCAGTTCAAGCCCAGCTTTCAAACACTGTATTGTTCTCAAATTTCTGCTGCTTTTATTATTTCAGTGCAAGGCATAAACCAAAAAGCCATCATTTACCTGGTTACTTTTATAAGTCTTTATCAAAAAGAAGTGTTTATCATGATGTCTGTTGCTAGACTGATTTTGTCTTGAAACCTTTCCTATTTTGCTACATGCTGATAAAAACAGTTCTGGTGCAGCTCCTACAATTTTGTTTATCTCATCTTTCTTTCAACTGATACTTTATTTATCCCTAATTTAGCTTTTTCTTTTTATTTTAACTTAGATAACTATTTGTGTTACTCCTAATTTAATGGTGTTGTCTGATGTCAGAAATCTTATGAATTAATTAGATTAATTAAATTAATTAAAGCTAAAAAACATTTCATCATATCATTTCAAATTTAGTTACTTCTTACTAGGCACTTAACATTTAATGAGAAATGGAAAGAGTTTGGATAGGTCTTAGTACCTCCTTTCTGTGAATGACTGCCTTAGCTCATATACTAGTGCTACTGCTTTTTTCTAGCCCTTCTTGTTTCTGCTATGCTGTCCTCATAGTTGTTCTTTCTCTCTGATTCTGAACTGCAATTATCACCTCTTAATAATTTGCTGAGACCTACTAGGTATACTGAATTGAAAAATACAGTTAGTTTTGGATCATGTTTAATGGTATCATAATTCTGTTAACTTGAAAGAAATAAATTTATTTGACAAAGATAAAGACTAAAAGATTCTTATGCCAATTTTCTTATTTTAGTCTCTCATAAGAAGACAGATCATGTCTGAAATTATTCTATGCCTATTGGTCTTAGCAACTCAGAGGCTAGGGGAAAAGATATGTTTTATATTGTACTAATTAACCCAAACCAATTTTACAACTGCTAATTTAAACAGTGTAAATCAGGTTCACAAAGATCTGCACAATTTTTTATTCAGCAGAAATCTGAAGGCATCTGATGCTGCCCAGACTCCTTTCTATTTCAAGTATCAAAAGACAAACCTATGAGGTCACAGATATGTAATAGATGAAAGAGAAAAAAACATTTTAGAAATGCACTGTTGTGTAGAAGTGTACAGTACTTTATTCATATGGCACTAACTGTGATTCAAGTGGACTAACTAAATCCTAAATTGTGTTTTGCTTGTGTTCTACCAGATGTTTTCTTTTTCTCTCAGCATGCAACTGTATGCATTTTTAAATTAAGAACAACTTATAGAACAACTTGACTCTCTTGTCATCTGGCTACAGTGACAACAAACATCACTGATTTGGTCTTACTGAATTCACACAGGTTTGAATGACCAAGTCAATCCTGGACACTGGGAGTGGAACGGAGGAGAGCCTGTAACCTACACAAACTGGAGAAGAGGCTCCTACCACTTTCCAGTGAGAGGAAGAAATTGTGTATTTGTGCAGAAGCGAGGAAAAATGCAAGCAACTGACTGCAAGAAGGTCAAACCAAACAGCTATATATGTTCAAGAAAGTTGTAATGGATGGAGGATGCCTCTGAAAGAATATGGACATTCATGCTATTTCAGTATGCTAGCTGTATTAGAAAATCATTCTAATTATCAGCAAGGTTTATTTTATATGCTGCCAGGTGCAGATGCACTGGCCTCTAACCACGGTATAGAGATCAGCTGCAAAAACTAAGCCCGGGTTAAGGTTTTGAAATCTCCCCAATGACTTTGATCTGTCACTTACTCATAGTATTTTTATACCAAAGAGCTGGGTCTCAAGGCTTTCATCACTCTTCTGTGCAAAAGTAATTTTTCTTTAAAGAAAGTACCACATCAGTTGATTTGCTTTGCTCTTAAAGGAAGGGTTGTGAACTGCAGTTTTACCCTGCAGTCACAAAAAGAGGAATGCTGCTGGGGTTGGAAATGAGGGTAGACAGTTATCTAAAACCAGATCTTTTGGGTGATGATGTGAGAAATGTCATGTAAGCACTGGAGTTTGTTTGGTGGATACCCTAGTACATCTTACAAAAGTACCAATGGCTGGACATTGCCTGGTGACAGAGTACAAACAGGAGCAAAGCCTTGTATTTTTTCTACCTCCCAAAGCCAGCTTCAGAACCTAATGGATCTACCCACACAGAGTTGCATCTGTTTCACATTCCTAAGCAAAAATTTTCTTTTTTATTTTTTTTCCTGGAACTGCAGGATGGTGCTGTAATTTTTACTGTAATTAAATAATGGGACATCTCTAAATCAAATGTTATAGCAAATGATGATTTATTTAAAATGTTAGCTTAATCCTAGGATATTATCTGGGGATATTCACTGACACATGAGCATCAATAGGATTTATATGTGTGTATAAACCAATGTAATCGTGAGATATATTTTGTAGTACAGCAGCTATGGCTTTTGAAAAGTATTAATCTAAGTCCTTATTTGGGATTTGAGGCTTTTAAAAATAAATTTTAAAAATCCAGATTTATTTTTAAGAGAGGCTTAAAACGCAGCAATTAATATGAAAAACCAGCTGGCCAGAACTTATTATTTTAGAAAAATACGGTTGCACTATAACCATTTTGTAACATTATAGTAGACTTATATTTGACCTGTCAAAATCTTGCTTTTGGAAATTTTTACTGCCAGCCTTAAAATTACAAAAAAAAAACCAACCAAAAATCCCAACCAACCAACCAACCAACCAAAAACCCCCAAACAAACAAACAAATGAAAACACGAAACAAAACAGCAACAGCAACCAACCAAAAAAAAACAAAACCAAAAAATGAAATGAGGATCCAAGCATAGGCTTCCTAAAAAAAAAAAATTAAAGCTCCTCACAATAGGAGCCAGTGTGTGTGGCAGTTGGTTTGGAAGGGAGTAGGGCAAATTTGCCCTGCACCTATGAACTTTCATCCTTCCCATCTGCCCGCCTGCTGCCAGGAATTGATGCCCACTTTGCTCGTCTATTCAGCTAGCCTCTGGACCAATTTTGCAACAGAGCTGCAAAACCTCCTTCTCGGCTTCCTTGTCGCAATTTCTCTGTCCTGCAAGGGACAGACAGAGCAGAATCAACTCTCCACTCTGAGCTGAAGGACACTGTTTCAGGGCTTATATCTTCCTCTTCTTTGCCTCTGTCACACATAGGTTACTCATCCTTCCTCCTTGCCTGTGACAAGTTATATCAACACTTGAGCAGCTGAAGAGTCTTTGTATATAGGAAAGAACCTCCCTGAAAGGACTGTTGCCAATAAATATGGGTGCACTGCAGAATGAGAGAAAAAACATACTAGGGACAGAACCTCCTCACCTTTTTTCTTGCAATCAACAGATGCAGACAAAAAATATTTCCAGGATTTCTCTCAGATTTTTGATTTTTTTAAAGGTAATAATTATGAGACGTTTCTAGGCACTTTTGCTAGAAACTCCTTTGTTTAAGGAGTTTTCTATGTCAACTTGTTTCCAAACCAAGTACTCCTGAATACCTGGTGTTAGACATGATTTTATTCCTGAAAGTTTTCATTACAGAAAAAACCCCCAAAAAACAAAAAAAGAAACCCAGTTAAAAAGCACTCTCAGTATCTTTTAGCAATGTGCTCTGGAATTCCAGGGAAAATGGACAAAGACATAAACTTTTATTTCTTTAGGGCTTTTTTAAAATTAAAGATGTAGAATTTATTGGTGTACAATTATTGGTGCTAATTTGATAAAGCATATTGAGATTATTCAAATACCTCTCCCAAATATTTAATAAATTAATGATATCAACAGAGTGGGGATTTTGATAAAGGTGCTTGTTACTTGATCAGTAACTAATAAATGACTCATGCCATCTGACACAACAGTTACCTCAGGTTTGCTTTTGTGAGAGTAGGGGAAAATTTCCCTTTTCTATACTTCATTTGAACTACTTTAAAGTGATTTCAGCATATGAAGATTTCACTACAAAACAGATTTTTAGTTGTGCAAACTGCATGGGTTTACTGGCTTAGTTATATCTAGCACAATACACTAATTAAACTAAAATTCTTATATTGCAGAGCAAGTATATTTCTGCCCTGAAAGGGGCAGAAATAGATATGCTGAATTTTTTTCCAATACAATTAACTGTTCCAAACATTTAACTAATAAATTTTATTTTTCCTGTCCTTCAATAGGTATTTTTTCATAGATCTTTATATATTTTATTTTTATTATTAGATACTGGTGTTCAAAGAATGAAACATACTCAAATCAGAAAAAGCATAAATTTTTTTCTGTTGACATAGAAAATTATGAAATTTATTTTTTTCTGTTGACATAGAAAATTATGGCTTCTAAGAAGTTTAGTAATGGATGGGCCTACAGTCCTGAGGAGCTTAGGGGATTTTTTTAATCTTCAGTATTTTTGTATTAGATGCTGAGTAAACTGAGGAAAAATCAATATTTAGGGGATCAGCACTACAAGGAGCATTTCAAATGGCTGAAAGTAAGAAAAAGGAGCGTGTAAATTCTGGTGTCCACATATGGATGCCACCCTTTCTGAATAAACAAGTAAATCCACCAGAACTATCCATAAATCCATAGCCAAGAACCACAGAATCAAGATGCTAAGTGAAAAGAACCTAGCAGTTACCTTAGGTTTCTATACACCGATGGGCTGTGTGAGCACTGTGTGTGCTTGTCACTTTTAACCACTTTCACTCCCTGTCAAATATCTTTTAAATATGTCAAAATTTCAAACAAATTTGACAGGGAGGTAGTTAACTCAAAGCCAATGGTTGTGAAAAAAATGGATAGGCAACAAGTCACAGGAGCACTTACTCTGAACCAAAGTATTCTAAAACACTTGAGTTTTTACTAACTTAATATATATCAAGTATTTAGTCTGAAAAATATCAGAAAAGTTTTCCAGACCTTCTTCCTACACATGGATACTTTAGTGAATGTCTTCAAGTCTTTATTCATTCAAATTATAAAAATAACTTTGTATTATACTTTGTGAGTCTAAGATTCAGTGAATATTGGTGATTCTGCATTACTTACATCAAAAAGATTGGTGCTATAGTAATTCTTCTATTCAAAACACTATATATATTGTCATGTTTAACTCTGTAATGTGTTAATAAAAGCCCCAAAATATACCTGGGTGAGTATGAATTTCTTAATTTCAAAATTGCACAAAAACTTATTTTCTAGTGATAATAACTTGAGTTATTAATATAAATAATATACATTTATAATATACAGATAAATTATATCTTATATACAATATTTAATATTGCATATTTTCTATTTATTCATAGTTATTTATAGGTATATATACATTATACATAAATATAAATAAATAATTTATATTTTTATATATTATCTATCATATTTATAAAACAAATAATATAAATTTGTAATATAAATGCTCTTAAGAGTTAAGCACAATATACCTCCTGTTTACACTAATTAGCTTCTAAATTCAATTTTTTCTTCTGTTTGGGCCTATCCTTGACTGAATACTGTGAAGACATTCGTACCATGAGTTAGCCACACATAACAGAGAAAATGCTGCATATTTTGAGAAATAAATCTAAGTCTGCAAGCAGATATACAAGAAGAAAAATTAATTCAAGCAAGACTGCCAGTATATAAAAATGAATTTTAATACGATTCTTGATGTAAAAAAGGATGTGAAAAAGTCCTTGTCCCTCAGAAATCTCAGTCATCTTCAGAGGAAGTTTTTCTCCATTCACCTCTGGGCTCCCCAGCACAAGGGAGACAAGGAGCTACTGGAGAGGGTCCAGTGGAGGGCCACAAGGATGATCAGGGGTCTGGAGCTTCTCTCTCATGAGGAGAGACTCTGGGAGCTGGGACTGTTTGGTCTGGAGAAGAGAAGACTGAGAGGGGATCTCACCAATACATAGAAATAGCTCAAAGGTGGGTGTCAGGAGGATGGTGCCAGACTCTTTTCAGTGGTGCCCAACAGCATGATGAGGTTCAATGACCACAGACTAAAGCACAAGACATTCTACCTCAGGCAGAAGTTCTTTACACTGAGGGTGGCAGATCACTGGAACAGCTGCCTGGAGAGGCTGTGGAGTCTCCCTCTCTGGAGACACTCAAAATCCACCTGGATGCATTCTTGTGTCACCTGCTCTAGGTGATGCTGCTTTGGCAGGGGGCTTGGAATGGGTCATCTTCAGAGGTCCCCTTCAACCTCCATGACTGAAAGAGTGATTCTGTGAATATTGCATATAATCAGAGTGAGCAAAATAATATAATTTTATGCATATAGGAGAAATTTTAAGATATGTTTATATCTATTTTTATTTTAACTAAAGAAATATTGTATGCATCTTCCTTGGATTATATTAGAAAAAAATTTTTGGTGGTGTCAAATTCTTCAGTGAATAAACTGGCTATCTCAAATTATTCACAACAATCTAGGAAGATGCATCTTCCCAAACTGTGACTTTGCCCAGACTCCTTTTTCCTGTCTCACAGGTTTTCCCAGTGTCTTTCTCCCTGTGGCATGCCTTAGCAGTCTGCTGCAATCAATTACACACCCAGGAGAACTCCACAGGCTGGGTCTGGAATTGGGTACACTGTCAATTAGGCAGTACATATGTGCCAGTACCATTCAGAGACAGAACCACCCATTGTGTCCTGTGTATGTACCTACAACCAGGAGAACATGGTCCAATAGATGTGAAAGGATGCTCATCCTTGCCCCACTGAAGACATAAAAAAATGTTCTAAAGTGTGAGCACCTTCATTTCGGCTGTCACATTAAACTTAATGCTGTTCTCAGTTCTGTTGCCAGAACACAGAAAAGAAACAGAGAAATGTTAACAGGAAAACATAAATGAGTGGAGAAAGAAACAGTGCAACAGATGACTTGAAACATAGGGGAGTTCAAAGGTACTAAACTGGAGGTACAAAACTAAACAAACCTATTGCCTGTTCTTTCATCTCATACCTTGTTAAGAGACTCTTGGTTTCATAATTAAAAATTTCCCATGAGGCCTGTATGTGATCTGCTTCCCTAAAATTCAGTAAAACAAAGACCACAGATGGCCTTCTTTGATAAGAACAATTATTGGAGAATACACTGCATAGTGATAATTCATTAGTTCTAAGGTCTTCCTATGGGGTTGTGAAAGATATATCTGGATACAAGTTTGTCTACATCAGATGTGTTTAGAAAATTACAAGATATTGAATTGGACTGTATATATAAAATCCATTTTAATGATTTTATTATCAGTCATGGTATGATGAGACTATTTAACTCAACAGAAGGCAAATAATTCAAGCACTGCCCAAGAATTATTTTTAGGCATCAACTGGCAGTGTAGATAATGTCCATTAATGACTGAATAAACTCCAGCTTTGAAACAAATGAATAATTTTGCATTTGCATAGCACTTGTCATCTATAGACCTGACAGTTTTAAAAGGATGGGCAAACATTCACATTGACTATTTCTAGTGAAAACAGAATGTCCTGAATAAATTGCTACTATGAAGGCAAACTAAAGCCTGCTTGAAAGACACTGCTGAATATAGCTGTAAGATTTAATAACTAGAAAACAGTGAAAACATGTTATGCTTATATGAAAGGGTAATCAGGCAGGAAAACAAGTTTTTAGAAAAGAAGCAGCATTGGGTTTTTTTGTAGAAAGCTGAGATTAGGTCTATTTGGAACATAATTATTATGTGCCCAGTCCAATGCCAGTAGTCAA